GCAGGCTTTAAGGAAGAACAAGCGGGTAAAATATTACTTTTTACATCACGGACTGATTTCCTGGTTGATTTAACCGCACCACATACCCTTATCTCCTGTTAATAAGTAGGCATCGAGACTATGGCTAACACGTGCAAAGCATGGGCATTTTCAGTTTTATCTTCTCAGTGTGATTACATTCACTGAAGTCCCTTCGACATTTGTTCGTACAGTCTACTAGGATAAAATTTAACTGGACCAAAATTCTTTGCATTAAGTAAGCTATACTTTGGATAACCGAACAACTTATCATTCCGTGTGGACTACCTTCGAGCGTCGTTCTAAATGACAAGATCGGACACGAACAGTCGGTTGCCGGGGTGTATTGATTTTTGTCAGAATGAGAAAATCGAAGCTTAAATGAGCATTGTGATTTTAGATGCAAACGCATCATTTAGAAATTTTCGGGCAGATACCGTTAAGTACATTTTCGCTGATTAAATAAGGTAATACGTAGGATCGGAAAAATTTAATTTTACTCTGTGCAGCGCTTAAGGCGTATGGGCTGGATGTTTGCGGAGAAATATCAAATAATCGACCAAACGGCGAAGACTGAATTCCGAAAAATTGTCAGCAACTTAGTTCATTAGCTTCTCTGGACGATGAGCTGTTTAATAGATATAGCTTCATTCTTGTTTGCCTATCGCCCATGAGGCTGTGCTTGCCGGTCCTTTGAATAAAAGCGTACAAACCCGAAGGCAAATTTACAAATTCGTTTAGCTGATGATCAAATGCACTGCGTTTATAGTTCATACTCTGTTTAGGTTAATTAAATTCGTTGAAGTGTATTTTTACAGACGATTCGGATGTATAAGTAGCTTTTCTTGTGAAAGCGATTACGAGCAAGCTTGAATTGGCAATGGATCAGGGTAAATTGACTAAATTACTGCATGCTTCCCAAATTGCCACTTAACCAATCAACTGCAAATTTATCGTTCCTTAATGCGCGCAACGTAGGCTTGTTCATTGACTTCATATTGGTTGGTTATCATCGATTTTCACGCGATATATATGTAAGCAGAAAGAAAACACGAACACGGCTCAAAATGCGCTACGTTTTTCGGTGTCCGAATGCGGTCACATTGACCGCTGACACTTTAAAATTTACAAATTTGACTTTGTCTGCCGTCATGCTTTTTACTTTTGTTCTTCTTTCCGACCGTGTGACCACATCCGCGGCAAACCTTCAGGCTATCGACTCAGAGCATATAATGACACGTTCTCCTCAACAGGCAAATGATACCTCTCGTCTCACGGAGGGCCGTCAATGGGACTCCGTGAGTACCATCGATTCAGCAGTAGAGGGCTTGGCACAGGAGGGGTATCCGGATGCTCCCTACCTCAGTCTGTCCGAAGCCGGTAAGCACTTGTTTCATAACACACAAATGCCTATCCACCCTCTGGGTTTTAGAGGACCGGTAGGATAACATGCATGGCGTAGATTTGATAGAGCCAGAAGATAAAAAGTTAAGAGGCACCAATGAGTAACATCAGCGCTTCTAGTTAAAGTTGATTAAATAGTTAATTTCTGCTTGTCTTTGTCAAAGTTTTGTCACAAACAAAAATGTAATGCTCATTGGTAACCACAGAGAGGTTAATATATAAAACATAGGCAGGACGCCTTGGTCTGTCCATGTACGCTTCTATATCTGGGTCATTTGTTTTTATTTTCGGCCCCAAAGTCCGGTTGGTGATCTAAAAGTTGCCCAAAGGGGCAAGAAGCCGAGTCGCAGGAAGCAGTCGTGAAGAATGAGCCACAACCGCTGAGATAAGAGCGTTATTGGCCAAATTTTTCGGGTTCCGGCTCGAACCCATCATCAGAGAAAATAGCAGATACGGGTGATTCGTTCACAGGGCACTGCAGTATTTATAGGGTGCAGTCGCCATGCTATCTCTTATCCATGAGTATTCACGGTTCCCACCCTTCATCGGGGATCGTAGCACTTGGTGTGCTAATTGTTTTATGGCCGATATTCGCGCCGTTATTGGCGGCGATTTCATCGCCTACGTTGGGTGTTGGTGTGATGATTGCTCGACCATCTAACGCGCCGACTCTGGCGCTGGGAACAGTGTTCACCTGTGTCCTTTCCGCGTGGCTAATTACTCCGCCTAGGCGAAGTCTCAGCACCGAGTATGAAAGTGAAGTGTCGTTATAATTGTTAATAGACTGCGGGTCAGTGGACCATGACTCAAGCAGTTCCCGGCTCACGCGGTTGTCACCTCTAGCGAGAATCTCGGCCTCGTCGGATTTAAATGTGTGACTGATCTCATCAAATTAGCCGAAATCTGAGAGCTGACCCCTTGTGCATGACTTCCAGATGTGCAATATTGTATGTAAGCTGTAACTACATACGTTTTGGATTCTGCTCTATTTTGTGAATAGCTCACGCCCTGGAAGCATGGATTTTGCAAGTACGTACTTAAAACACCACCCTCAGTGCATACAAGGAAAACGGAAAAAACTGGTATAGATTCCATATGTTCACTGTAGAGAGAATACTTGTGAATAAACCTTGCTCGAAATCCTGGTGTTCTGTTTATTGGCGGGCCGTGTGGGTTTGCTAAGCTATGTCAGTCACTTGTACTCAATTCCTGCATCATGTAGCTGGCCAGTCACTGGGCTGGTGGCTGTGTGCGGAAAGGTGGAGAAAAGCCCACTTTGAAGACTCTGTGTCAATGCTCTTTTAGCTCATCTCGTCAATATAAACATTGTAACGTGCATGCAATCCATCACGATGCGCTAAAAGCCATCATATGAGAGGTTGCCAACTGGCGCGATGGCTCGGTTCTCTCAGGTGGGAGAATCAGGCTACACTGTCTTCTTCGGGCCGACGAGAACCGAGGCACTACTGCACGCTTCTGTATAAGCCAGGTTATTGTGACATGCACAAACCATCTGCCTGTTCTTCCCTAGCCACTGCCCCTGATCCCACCTCCAGACACCCTCATCTAGTCTTACCAAAGCATTTAAGGTTATAATGCAGGTGAGAGTGTGGATAATTCGGCGCAAGTCAGCCATCAACAAAAAGTAGCGCGCGAACAGTCGAAATCGCTACGTTCATCCCACCATAGAATTCGTTATAATCAAGTCTTCTTCAAATGCTGTACTAGAAGAAAGAATATATAAGGACGGAAGGGCGCTCACCGATCGTGTTACAGAACTCGCACGCCCCATTGTGCCTTAGGGTTCTCTTTTGAGCCCGAGTTGCAGCCGCAGAGCGGCGGGTAATATAGGCAACTTAGCATTATCAACAAAGACAAGGGGACTCCCGGCCTTCATTTCAAGCCAGATCCAGCCTCTGTTCTTCCTGACTTTATTATGACACCGGCAACGGGCGAGTGGAGGATGAGAGACTGTGGCAGATTCAGCAAAAGTTTATTATCGTTATAAATTATTTCATGTGTAAGTCACCGTCCCTGGGCACAAGATGAACATCGTCACTCACAACGGTCGGACTGACGGGTTTCCTTAGGACCTACTTTTGCCTGTTCCTGCGATGGAGCCTGGATTTGTTCTCTTTTCGCGAATCAGCTGCGCTTGCCGCAAAGGGCTTGGTACTTTCAATTGCACATCTTCTATCCAGAAACATTTAAAAAAATTTGTTTATTTACTTCACATGCATAATTTGAAAAAAAGAAATTTGACTCCGACAATTACCCGCATGTAGTCCAAAATCACTGGTAAATATGTATTATTAGAAGAAAGATTTTAGTTTCCTTGTACACATGCCATGTATTAGTCATGTCTGGTAGTAACGTAATGTTGCAACACAAGTGTCTCCAGGTAGGTCACTTTGCATCTAAACTGTGTTGAAAAATCTTTCTGATTTCCAACACTATCACCCCACCGGACATTGATATGCTCTGAAATATTGCAAATACTTTAAATTCTAAATTGGTTTTGGTAAAAGAGACATTAATTTTGAATTCACCACCAGCTGGTTTCGAGGGAGACGCCGCCTTCTTGAAGTCTGATGTGGAATCAATGCGTCATCAAAACGACTACGCCGGCAGTATCCATCCGCAGCCTTTGGCTGATGGCGAAGTCGTTTATGTTTCAAATGACTCTGTAGTTCATTCTCAACACGAGAGTCCAAAGGACGACTTCATCGGAAGTAAAAGTCGGAATATAAGAAATTCGGCTAAGTCTGACGAACTCCCTAATCGCAAACTGAAGTAAGTGTCAAGTGCATGGTTTTTTCTTGCCAGATCCCTTCTTCACTTAAGTGTTTCGACTTCAGTCTTATACAACTTTTTTGAAATCATGTACGAGTAACTTTCTCTCAGCTTATTGCACTTGACATAACCGCTCGTCCATGGTTGTGAAACATATTGTTGGAGGTAGTTGGATACCCATAGCATCATCTGTGCTTATCAGATAAGGAAACTCGAATAAATGTCTCACATATGTTCAAAGCGGCATTTCTTCAAAAACCGTTTAGTACACAAAATCTTCCAAAAATGAATGACTTCTGGTACTTTTGCGGTTAAACATGTCAATCAGGGAGTTTGGCCAACAGGGACCAGTACGTGCAGAGCTTACCAATGCACAAAAAAACGCACTGAATGGCCAAGCTGGACGTACGAGTAAATGGAAATAATATTTCATTAAGTAAGTTGCCAAACTCCGTCTATTAAAGTGCAAGTAAAATTGCAAAGCACTGCGGAAACTAAAAACTTAATGACTCATGCATTCCGGGTCTATTTACTGACCGTCTATAGGCAACTGAGAGAAAATGTACCGAAAATTTGCATCTTGCTACTTCTGCAAAGTCTATCCTTCCCGTAGTCTTATCCAAAATTTAAACGGCCACAGAATCCAAGCAAACATTTGTACATAATTTATTTGGCATGCCCCGGAGGGTAAAGGAGCATTAGCATGACTGCGGCGGTTGCTGTATTAGCGGCGATAAATTCGACTATTCTAGGTAAAACGTACAGGAGGATTTTCGGTCTGTGAAATTAGTAAATCTGTTCTACTCCTGTTCACTTCCCCTATCCCGTTTTTCTTGACGAATTTCCTCCCAGTACTTCAACAAATGTTGATAGCACCACTGGGGAGAAACGGACTGGACGCAGCCGACGAGCAGTCACGTCCGTTAGAGAACACGTCTGGCCATTAGGAGTAATACCTTATGAAATTGGACCACAATTTAACGGTGAGTATTTTGCGCAAATGGAGGATATTACATAGCAGATGCCCTGATGATGAGATTAACTGCAATGTCAATTGCAGAAATAAAGCATCTTTGTTGTAACCATCAACACAAATTCGCTCAGTGTAAAATTATCAAACTAAGCAGTACCATATAATTTAATGCTAAACACAGGGAATTAAGTCCGCTGAAAGACAATTTAAAGCTCGGCATATATCCACAAGTAGGGGCAGACTGCATAGGTACACAAATACATATGTATCCGTGAGTATGCATTGAAAGTTCGGCAGCCCATAAAGAAAAAGTTGGGGAAAATACGTTCGCTAGAAATTGCAAAAGAGTTTTTTGGGTTTCAAATGTCGATTCGCCAAGCCGGAATCAGGCATGCGGTAAACTGGACGAGGGGTTGAACATTAAAGCCTATCTGAACAGGCAATAGTTATTGCTCATTCCTGCCTATAAACCGCCGGCGCTCGGATTGGCTTGTCGCCTTTCCCACTTCTTATGTGGGAGTGTTGTGCACCTTGCCTGCTAAGGTGTGCCGATTAGGCCGCAGGTCATCGGAATACACGGCCTTAAAACGGATCCGGTCCTTACTAGATAATCAGGCACCAACACTGCCAGTATTGTCCCAGGGAGAATTTTGTCCCGTTTCCAGCGTAACTTGACTAAAAGTTGTCTTTCCTCGTTAATCTCCATTGATTTTTGCTGGCGCATGTTCGCCTGGGCATGTTCAACTGCCAGTTTCATTACAGAGCCGCCACTCAATAAAGGTCAGATGGCCCTTGCAAACGTTTTAGATTTTATAAAATAAGCAATCCTGCACTTAGAATCATGCAGTGGCTGTGTGCTTCAATTGTCTGTTAGTGCGTCACGTGTATTTGGTTCTCCCGCTTGTGTGGACTGTGTCGCCTGTGCGGTTAACTGCAATAAACATCAGGGCAAACGACTACAGTCGTGTTTTGGAGAACACACCAGGACAGTAAGGAGGATGGACTCCTGGTGGAGCAACACATCGCGGGCTCTCAGCAAAAGCTCACGGGCCAGAATATGGGAACTCTGGTTCTAGGAAATGGCCGCATAGCCTGGAAAATCTTCAAGGCCTGACACACGAAAATAACCTGCATCAAGCGTTTCAAGCGAAGCCAATGTATAGGTGTGCGCCCATTCCTGAGTGAATATATACAGATAATGTTAGGAGGCGCTCACCGATCGTTCTTACGGAACTCATCCGTTCCGTTGTGTCTTAAGTGCTCTCTCTCGACCCGAACCAGCAGCCGCACAGCGGCGCATGATATATAGGAAGAATGGTATTACCGACAAAGACAAGGAAGACTGGAATGGCCATTTCTGGCTTATTAGCCGTCGTCAGCCAGCCATACCCAAGCCCGAAGTGTGGAACACCCGAGCCTCGAACTCGCCATCGAAAACCGACAGGGCAACGGGCTTGTGGCCCGGTGAGTAAAGGTGTGGACTTCTAAACCAACAGGTCGCGAGTTCGAGGCTCGGGTGTTCCACACTCTGGGTTTGGGGCTGACTGGCTGACAATGACTAACAAACCAGAAATGACCATCCGAGTCATATCGAGTTGGACGCCGCGTACAAAAGTCGCAAGGAGAAATGGAAGAGACGAGAGCCAATCGGGATGGATTGACGCAAATAGCGGCCGCTCACGGGCGCAAACGCGAACGAATATCGATGTTTTGTGTGCACTGCCAGATGTTAATTGTTGCCGGCACATTTACTCTCACTCTGCGTCTGACGACGGCCTGGGGATGAAATTGAGTCGTTCAACTCGATTTCTTCCGACGAGACTTCTACCTTCATCATATTATCTCGAAAAGCATATGAATTGAATGGTTAAGGTAGTATGCATTCGAGATAATAACATGAAGGAAGAACGAAGAATAAGGTTAATCCAGAAACGAACGATCGCCTCAAACGTGTCAACACCAGCCACCCGATGCATACTGAGGACATACCATCGCTCAAACCTCGTCAAAAATCCCAGCTCTCGTTGAACTTCAGTTTCTAAATTGGAGTCCAGCGTCAAATACTTTGGCGAGATTCCTCTTGTAGAAATTGTCAGACGACCGGATACACAGTCATTTCCTCGAACTTTATTTTCGGCATTCTCGCATGTGAGCTTTTGTTAAAAACCCGCGAGGTATTATCTCACCAGAGATCATGAATCCATCCTCCTTACTGACCTCGTGCGTTCTACAACACGGCGCTGTAGTAGTTTGCCGTCCCTTTAATTAAAGAGAAGTTACATTGCAAGCATTACAAGCATTACATTGCAAGCACTCTGAAAAACACTTGTGGGTGCACCAATTAAACTCGCGCACAAACAGTTCGCAACAATTTCGTGCTCATATGTGCATTATTATTAGAAGTCTCTAGTAAACAATGGGCAATTTTCTTCAGTGTTGTTTTCTGTTTTATCTTCGGTGCTTGACACCGGTTTCAGTGATTTCGTGCAACTTGAATGGTAAATAAGTGTTTTATCTTTACTAAGGCTACTCGAGAGCGATCATCTTAAGGGCAATGCGAGTGTGGGAGAGCCTCACGTGTCTCTCTTTCGTCGAACGGGAGCACCATCACAAAGCCTACATAAACTTCACAGTTGAGGATTGTGGGTAAATATTTATGACTAAATTAAAAAATGGGTGCGTAGGCAAAAAATAACAACAGTTCGTGCCTATGGTTTAATATTTATAAAAATCTCGGTTTCTTTTAGGCTTCGCAATGCCGCAATATTTATATATATAGATGTACATATGAAAAAGAGAAGGCTCTTTGGGATATCGAGTTGTACTCGTAAATGTTCAAGTCAGGTGCCACCGACCCGTCGTCCGATGAATTGAACAGAGGGGAAAGTGAAACGGGCAGACGAGGTCGGCTGGCGCGACAGGACAGACAACGACAAACGGACAGCTGAGGCGAGAGAGGGGTGGGCACCGAGTTATGGTAGGCTGTGGGTCAGGAGGAAGGAAAAAAGAACCGTTAGAGCTCCCTGTGTTGGAAGTGGAGAAAAACATGGGAGATTGCAGATGAGTGGGAATGCGGGCGGCTGATCACTGATGCGGGATGAGGTCAGGGGGCAATGCGTCCGCGTTGTAGGTGTTAGCGGGGGGGACGTATATTAGTTTTTTGTGAAGGTAGACTTGCGCAACGTTTAATGCACTATCTGCCCATTTGCACTTGACCCGACTTCAAAACGTAATCAATAAGACCGGAATAGGAGAAATACCTATGACTAAGTCGAAATTTCTGTCGGTAGAGTTTATGGTAGCGAACGTTTGCGGAATTTTGGCATCGCCTTCCCTAATGGTGCTAGTACTAGTGTTAATGATGTTGTTTAATGAGATCCGAAACAGGTTATCGGTGGTGACAGTACACTTGGTTCACAAACGTCCGATTAGATCAAAAAATGTTTGGAATTTCTGTTAACAATGTAAACATAATGAGGATTTGGGGGCTTTCTTCATTGCTTTACAAGATTTGACACCTGCACATATTTATCGTTGCCTTGGCAGAAGTTAGTTGATTGGTTTTGAACGTGACTTATTCTATCTTTACGGCAATTGACAAGGCCTGCTGATCTTGACCGACATCCTCCAAGTACTTGGGGTTGATAGGCGTTGGTTTTGGAATAGCCTTCGCGTGGTCATTATAGAAACGTGTTAGTCTGCCTTGTCTGTGGGTAGCCGTGACTTCGTTTCTGCAGAATAGCACCTTGGAAAGTCCTCATTGTCTAGCCTCACGATGTGGCAGCTGCATCAAACTTGTGCTTGCCTCAGCATGTCGCGAATACTGAATCGGACATTCCATCCAGGATCCCGGTGTCGGAACTGATTTCCTAATATCTTAATCTGAATTTGTTTATAAAGCAGAACTAAAAATCATTAAGCATACTTGCCTGACGCTTAAATTAATTCCCTCCTACACTCTCTACATCCTAAGTCCCGTGTTAAAAAAGGCGCACCGACGGTTTCGGGCAAATCGCTGAACCCAAAATAACATCACGTTGGCTGTCGAGTTCCGATTCGCCATTTTACCTTAATATTTTACGAAATGCGACTTCCAAGATGAACATGTGTATACTGAATAGAGATGAATATCGCTGGCATTGATAGGATATTTGATGTAGTTATCATGTGGCGCCGACTAAAGAATGACCAAAGTTTTCTGCGTGCAGAAGACATTTGGAGCAGCCATTTGCGAGGCGGTTTAAATTGAGCTGTATGACGTCATTCGTTGCGGAATGTAGCGCAAATTTATCATCAGAAGTAGGGCCTATATTGCATTTTTGCAGCCGCATTAATGCGACTCACGCTGAACAGTTTACGTCCGTACGATTCTCCACGTCAATCTGTTGCACTTCCAAGGCTAGGCTATTATCAGCACGGCAAATAAAACAAAATGAAATAAGGCGAATATGACTACCCATCCCAATTTTGCCTTGGTTGTTACCGCGAGCGTTTTAGAGAGTGCCTGCTTGTAATGCAAGTTTGGCATAGATTTAAGCATAGCGCTTTACAATTACGCAAATCAAGCATATAGGCTTATGGTTTGTTCCTCCGGACTACTGTTAATTCTATGAGATTCACGTCCCCCGGGATAAAATGAAAACCAGTTGACTGACTGGGGATGAATTACAAAAACATATATTTGCCAATTGACTCTTTGATTGTAATATGATAATTTTCTCAGAACTAATTTAGTTTAGTTTGCACCCGAAAATCCCAATAAAGCAATTACCGTCCGTATGTTTTTGTCCGGATACAACAATGGTCTTTAAATACCATAAGTGAACGAAAGGTAGTAAAAATTATTTTATATCAATGATGTTGATGGTTCAAATTTAACGCGTGGATTAAATGACAGATCTCATTTAATAATTTTTTTCATTCTTGCGGTCATGTTCATTCCCAAGCAGCAAACCATTTACTTGTAATATCTGCTTAATAAGATTCTGGCTGGCGTAAACATTACAAAATGATTGTCCATAAGGTGGACTTTAAAAATAGTTTTCCAGGAATTATGGGAAGCGATACTGAATATTTGATCATTAAGTTTCAAAGGATGAAATATTTGCAAAACTGCATTCATCATAAATGAAACATCAGAAAAAGAACAAATGTTGGCGATGACTATTGGTTGTTGAAAGGAATGAAAATCTGTCTTAACAGTAAACTACTAGCGCTTCTTTCCAATTAAAACTAGATGCTGCTCGTTCGTGGGCCGCCAAAACGAGAACAGTCCACAAACCATATCTATTTCAAAAAAATGCGAAAGTGAGGGGACAGTCATGCACGAACTTGGACATGTGCTTGGGTTCTGGCATGAGCAGAGTCGACCAGACCGCGATTGTAAGTACTTGAAATATATGAGTATTGCACTTGTTAAGTTTTATTGCTCACTATTAGTACCAATAGCATGTCATATGTTATTCATTTTTTGGCTTTATTTTATGATCGTCTAGTTCAGCTATTACTATATGCAAGCGAGACGTCCATTTTCAAAATAGCCGTCCTTCTTTTGACTCTTAATGTACTAACTTACATAAACGAGGTCTGCATGTCTAGGAGAAATGTATGCCAAGTAGTTATCTTGCAGTTATTACATCAGCGGGCACTGGCGAAACTTAGTTGTAAAACTAAGGATGCGTGGCGCACCTAATTTGAATTTCCTCACCGTATACAGGCCGCCCAATAAAACTGATGAGGTTGACGAGGCGCTGTTTGGGATAATTAAAGAGGTATCACAAAACAAAGAGGTACTGATAACCGGAGCTTTCAACGCACCCATGGTCGAATGGAACAATTTGTTAGTAAATGGCTCGCGAAATTCCTTCGATTCCAGGCTCCTGAAGCTAACGGCTAATTTCTTTGTGGTACAAAACGTCGCGTTCCCAACCAGGATCAGAGAGGACCAAAGAGCGAAAAGTCTGGACCTCGTCCTTACTAAAGACCCGATTAGCCCTGGCGAACTTAGGTCCATAACACCGCTCGGTAAGGATGACCATGTAATGCTGTTTTGGGAATAGCGCCTATGCAGCCAACAAGGGAATACGACTGAGCCTAGACTGAATTTCTCGCGAGGAGATTTTGCCGCCATGAGAAGAGAATTATCGGCAATGGGCTGAGATAACTTTCTTTCCGGACAACCAAAAAATGGTTGAAACACTCTCAAAGGAGTTGTAACAAACATCATACATCGAAACAGTCCGACAAAGAGAGTCAAAATGAATAATCGTCCTGCCTGGATAACGCGGGATATAAAGAAAGAAGTATACCGGAAGAACAAACTATGGTGAAGGTATGCAACAAAAAAACAACCATCCCATTACGAGTAATTTTGTCGAAAGCTAAACGAGGTAAGGTGGGCTATCCGCAGGTCTCGGAAGGAGTATGAAATGTGAGTTATGGAATGGGCCGTCGATAAGCCAAAAGTTCTCTTTAGCTATATAAACAGTAGGTTAAAGAACAAGGAGACGGTCGCAGTGTTTAAAGGAGAAAACAATGAGGATATCATCGAAAATGACGCTAAGGCAGAACATCTAAGTCGGTTTTTCGTATCGGTTTTCCCCGATGACAACCGACGAAATAATAGAAAACATCGATTTCACGGAAGAAGATGTGAGGAAGGAACTTCTAGCGCTTAAGGAGGGCAAGTCTCCGGGCCCAGACCAAATTCCGGCAAAAGTGCTGAAGGAGTTGGCTTGCGAACTCGCCAAACCGCTTTGGCACATCTTTAGGTCGTCCTTTGACCGAGGCATTCTACTCTCTGATTGGAAAGTGGCGAACATATACACCATTCACAAGGGTGGATCTAGAACAAATACAAACAATTATCGGCCGGTAAGCCTAACGTGCATTTGTTGCAAAGTCATGGAGAGAACAGTCAAAAAATCCATCATGAATTTCCTTGAAGAAAATAATTTCATTGCCGCTCCCCAACATGGCTTTCGACGAAATCACTCCTGCCTAACTAATATGGTTCATTCAACGGAACAGTGGTCGCGCTCGTTAGACGAAGGAACAAGGGTCGATATCGTTGACATCGATTACAGGAAAGCCTTTGATAGTGTTTCGCACCACTGGTTGCTTTACAAGGTCCGAGAGTCAGGGATAAGGGGAAGTCTATTAAACTGGGTAAAGGACTTTCTGACTTGTCGATCACAGTCTGTGTGCATTGGTAGTGCGAAGTCAATGCCAGTGCCAGTAGTGAGTGGAATTCCACAGGGCTCTTTACTCGGACCAGTCCTATTTTTAATTTATGTCAACGACTGTATGAGTGGACTGGACTGCAGCGGAGTCATGTTTGCCGATGACATCAAGTTATGGCGAGCGATCAACGGCGAACATGAGAACGAGCCCTGCAAGAAGGACTGAACCGCCTATGCGAATGGTCTGGCAAATGGCTGCTAAAGTTTAACCCAGAGAAGTGCGTCGCGCTGCGACTCAAAACGACTGGAACATCTGACGGAGAGGATCACCATTAACAAGTTGGTGGAAGGTGCCTTTCAAATATAACCGAGCAAAAAAGATCTTGGGATCAACATTTTGTCGAGCCTTAAGCATTCCTCTCAGTGCGTTAGGGCGTCCAAAAGGGCAACTAGTGTTCTCTTTGCCATTAAACGAACTTTCGTGGACATAGACAAAGAGTTATTTGGAAAAGTGTACGGAGCCTACAATCGTTCGCATCTGGAATATGGAATCCAAGCGTGGCGCCCGTGGCTAAGAAAAGACTATAACTTGCTACAAAGAGTTCAGAGGAGAACAAACAAAGTTGTAAAAGGCCTCAGGACTTTACCTTACAACTTCCGACCATGGGAACGTAAACGTTTTCCTCTTGAGTACAGGCAGATTCGAGGAGATCTCAGACAGGCCTTTCGGATTTTGAGGAACCGGGAATGTGCCCTAAGCCCGGACGATTTCTCCACCCTGGCCTCAACAACAAACCTGCGTGTGAACTCTCTTCAACAAAGAGGATCCCGATGCCGCCTGGACGGTCGCAACAACTGTTTTTCACTGCGATTCGTCGGAGTCTGGAACGGGCTTCCCGAGGATGTAATAATGGCGGATACCACGTAGACGTTCAAGCAAAGACTCGATGCATATTTGCTTGGACACTAACGCTTGTATAAACAGAACAGCTCTGTGGTGCCAAACCAGCACCTTGCATACACGTACACATATGGATGACTGTCATTCCATTTTACTGAAACCATCTACAACTAAACTTTCTCAAGTTTTGGTTCCACATTTTCGAGGAAATATTCAGTTAAGTGTATATATTACTGACAACATTGCAGTACCATGTTTAGTTAAAGTTAGATATTGCATGTACAGTTGACAATAGGGTTTTCAAAGGCTTTGCCTATTACTCTTAACATATACTGACCTACTGACCTAACTTCAAATATCATTTTTACAGTAATTGCCAAACTTTGCGTCTTGATTTTCTCTGTCTTTCCGCTCATTAACAGCCTACGTGGATATATTTACCGACGATATCGAATCTGAAAACCTATACAACTTTGATAAAAAGAGTCCAAACGAAGTCGATTCTCTTGGAGAAACCTATGATTACGAATCGATTATGCACTACCACAGTGCTGCCTTTGCCAAAGTTAATGTCACGGAGACGATAAGACCTACGAAATGCTGTCCACGTCCAGAAATCGGTCAGCGAATAAAGCCGAGTGCGGGTGACGTAAGACAGATGAACAAACTCTATAATTGTCCTTGTAAGTTGCATAATGTTCTTCGAAGTTATTACAGCCCCTTGCCAAGAAACTCGCTGTTATTTTCCTAAAGTTTGCTCGTCAGAAAATTGTCGCTTCCTGTTTCTGAGGCTCACTTTCTCTCTCTCTCTCTGCAGGTAGTATTTAAACAGTACTTTGTACACTGAATTTTAATATCTGAATCAGTGTATATCAAAATGCTTAAAGAAGCTCCGCAGCCCATTAAACACGGACCAAAAGTGTTGCTGAAAATTAAGAACAAGATCAACTATTAACGTTAACTTAGCTGAACGCGAATGACTAAATTGTTTTAATGATCATCATGTCTCATATTTACCATGAATATGTTATAATTATTTGTTTTCACAGTTATGCTATTTGGTGTGGCTGACTCGTCCATGCTTAATGAATTCCACTTTCTTGCTGCACCTTAGTAAATAACAAAAATTCCATGAAACTAGAGGAATTTGCAATTTGGAAATCATGAACTCGGTAGCAGGTTCTGAAATGTCTCCACAGAAAGCCAATTTCTAAATTACAGTCTTCATGTGCTACGTGACAACTAGTAAATTGTGACAGTATTTACAACTAGCTGTGGTATGTACATTTATGACCGACCTTTTGAATGTTTTACCTAGGGTGTGAAAGGCTACTTCACTAGAAGGAAAACTTAGGCGGTGATTTAATATTGATTATTTTGCAGCATAACATCATAGTATTGAGGTCGCGTAAGGATGTTGGGTTTATATATACTCCTTTTCGGCCACTTTCAATGACTGCTTCTATAATGTGCACTTTTATTTCAATTTTCGGTGCCCGAACCAAATCACCTGCATAAAAATATTCATTTTTGTAAATTTTTGTTGGCCAGCCACCTTTTTTAAATTCAATATTATGAGAAAGGGTATCTTTCGGCTTTAAAGATGTTTTATCGATCCTACCATAATTTTGAGCTCGATCTGCAGTCGCATTTGCGCTTAGGGTTTTCAGTCTATTACCTGTAGACATTCCTTGCAGGTAAGAAAACATTCAAATAATTAAGTAGATAGCATTTTGACCTCATAAAATTGTTCCAACGGATGAGGACCATGGTAAATAACTCATAAGCAGCATTATTCAGATCAGATCAGATTTATTAAGGGAAAGGTAGGCGAGCGCCTTTGAACTCCCTTTTGGTTACAATAACGTCATAAAAAAACAATGTGTAAAGCAAGTGTAAAAAAATTAGGTAAGTAATTACATACAACAATCATTGGTCACTGGTATGAATTTGTCTGTGAATGCCTTCTATGTCAATATTGTACAATATCCAGTACGGTACCGAATGGACAAGTAATATCAAAGCAAGCGCATATGTGGCGTTCAGGAGATAACAAAAATTGTAAAACATAATGTTACTAAAATATAGGGAGTAGCATGCTTTGTAACATAAAACGTTGGATGGGGCAGGTGGTACAGGGGGGAAATTTGTTAGTTTCTGATGCTTTGGAGGCACATTTCCCTGTACTGGTCAAGCTTTCTCTTAAATGAGTCCACGGATGAGGACATGACGACGTCCACAGGCAGGGCGTTCCATGCCTTTACCACTCTGTGGCTGAAGAAGGACCTCCTTGCGTCCAGTCTCGCTCCTGTCACACGTAGTTTCAGAGGGTGTCCTCTCAAGCTAGTAGTGGTGGCTAGCACAACGAGGTCGCCTGATGCGAGGCAGCAGTCCTGACCCCGTAACATTCTAAACGTTTGAATTAATTCGCCACGGAGTTGTCTGTAGTCCAGGGGGAAGAGGTTAGTATTTGACAGTCTGGTTTCGTAAGGAAGGTTTTTATGACCTGTGACAAGCTTGGTTGCCCGTCGTTGGACTTTTTCGAGGGCGGTACGATCCTTAACTGTCCAGGGTCTCCCGGCCTGAATGGCAAATTATAACTGTGGGCGAACAAACATCCCGAAGACCTTGTGAAAGCACTCTTCGTCTAACTTGGCAAATGCCCGCATAATGAGATGTAAGCTGGACATTGCGGATTTCGCTGCTTTCAAGCAGTGGAATGATGGCTTTACTGAAGATGTTATCCACACCTTTAGGTATTTCTAAACCTCTACCAGTGGCAGCGGTATGTGATTTAGAAAGTGCGTCTGCCGGGGCGCAGAGCTGGTTCTACCGATCCTCAGAATGTTGCATTTGGTAACATTAAATCGGAGGAGCCAGTGGCGTGACCATTGTTCGAGTCGGTCTAGGTTTGCCTGTAAATTTGCTTCATCGTCCTTGTTGCGGATGACGGTCCAAAGCTTTATATCGTCAGCAAACATGGCAAATTCGCAGTCCAAACCATGGGTACAGTGATTTATAGAGATGAGGAAGAGGATAGAGCCAAGAACGGAGCCCTGAGGTACTCCGCTCGTAACCGTCACCTCTGCCGATTGCTGGCCACCAAGACGAACAGTCTGGGACCGACCGACCAAAAAGTTTTCCATCCACTTCAAAAGCTCGCCTCTCACCCCTATGCGGCTGAGCTTGTATAGGAGACGTTGGTGTGGCACGCTGTCAAAAGCCTTCTTGAAGTCTATGTAGGCCACATGCACAACGTTTCCTTCATCAATCGCTCGGGTCCACTGTTCAAGACAGTAGAGTAGATTAGTCAAGCAGGACCTCCCTCTGCGGAAACCACGCTGTGCATCGCACAGAAGATGGATTTGGTCTTTAAAACCGCATCAGTTCGCGTTTGATAATTTGCTCCATAAGTTTGCAGCATATGGAGGTGAGGCTTACTGGTCGGTAGGTGTTTAAGGAAGCGCGACTGCCATTTTTATGAATCGGTGAAATCCACGCAGTCTTCCACTCAGGAGGCAGTCTGTCTGCATCAAGAGAGGCTTGGAAGAGGAGACTCAGAGGTTCTGCCAATTATGTGGCTAATTTCTTCAACAACTTTGCCGGTATTTCGCCAGGACCGGGCGATGTCCCTTCTTTTAGCTTCAGTAATTCCTGTTGAACAATAGGTTTTGTGAGAACCACTGAGTCAATTGTCGGGACATTGTCCACGTTACAATGATCAATGGGTGCAGCGACTTCTGTCGTAAAAACCGACTAAAAGAACGTGGACAGATGCTCAGCCTTTTCGTCGTCCTTGTAAAGTTCAACGCCATCATCAGTTTTTAACATAGGGATGAGATCCCTGTTGCGAGTACTTTGTCTTATATAGTTGACAAAAAGCTTTGGGTTTTCTCCTGCACAGTTTAAAAGGTTACCCTCGAAGTGTTGGCGGGCTTTGTAAACAAGGCACTTAACCCTATTCCGCTGAGCCTTGTACCTATTTCTTGATTCACTTGTCTTGTCCCTAATATATGCCTTCCAAAGCTTTTGCTTATGGTTTACTTCAACTTTCAGTGAACCCTTTAGCCATCGGGTTCTGCTGGTGATTTTCTTTTTCGACATAGGGCAGTATCTGGTGATAAGTTCATTCAGTACGGCCTTAAGTTCTAACCAGTCCTTGAGGACACACCCCGTTAATGCTGCTTTCCGGTCTCTACGACGCATGTCGAGACGCATTTGGCTGAAGTCAACACGCCATATGTTGCGTCTGATCACGATGCTTTGATCGGGTACAGAAAAGAGAGAATACTCCCACTTTTGGACTACATGGTCGCTTTTTCCGAGAAGGGGTAGACAGTTTGCAACATCAACGATTTCCGGTGCCTTTGTCAATACAAGGTCTAAGCAGTAAGCTAGTTGTCCTGCACGTAGTCTGGTTGGGGATAAGACGTGTTGTGTGAGATGCGATCTTTGCAGAGATTTTAGGAGGCGGCGATCAAAGTTAAATTCTGAGCCCGGGGCAGAAGTCAGATTTCAGTCGATATTCGGAGCATTAAAGTCGCCCATAATCATGACATTGGGTTGGATCGAAATTGCCTCTAATTCCTCTAGTAGACTACTTTCTGAATGCGGGTCGTTCCTCGGTGGGCGGTAGACCGTCAGAATCTCAAGAGGTTGTGACCCCGGCGTTTTGACGGTGAGCTAAATTGTTTCAGTTGTGCGCGCGAGCTGTCCCTCTTTTTCTGACGCAAAAAGTCCATATTTGACATACGTGAGCACACCTCCACCTTGACGTCCCTACCTGTCCTTTCTGAACAAGTGATAACCAGATAAAGCGATTTCGCGATCGTCTACGCTCGCGGACAGCCACGTTTCAGTTATGGATATTACATCGGGTAAGGTTTGGTTACCGTAGATCTTACGCTCATCTAATTTAGATAGAAGACTTTGCGCATTGGAATATAAGCATTTTAGCTTTTTTTGCCTTTGGTAAGCCGGCTATGACGCCGCCTTTGCCAATTGCATCGGCTTTGGCGACATCCGCACGGGCCGTGTCCATATGAACCGGGACGGTCGCTCGATTATGCAGTTGTTGTAGATAACCAGGCTTTGTTCGCCATTCATTTGTCGCAGCCTTAGCTCCTGAACTAACTGTCGGCGTTTTATCCGCTCCGGTGGTGTGTAATCCGGCTGAAAAAAACTCCTTGGTGGGAATATTTTAACCTAAACCGTCTTGAGAGGATGAGATCAACATGCTCTTTGCAACTCCGAACAATTTTAAGGGGCCTAGGATGCGGTGGAATAGCGGGTTCAGTAGAGCGCTTTCCGAGTCTGAAGGTTTTCAACATGGAAATTTCTTCGTTGGGTTGAAGCATTGTGTTTAGAAGACCTTGGAACAAGCCGAGATCAGCTAATACGCGTCCTTTAGGAGTGTCTGCGTGAGGCTCCTGAAGTCCCTGTATTACTAGGCACTGTTCTCGGAGCGGCCGGTCTTGGTTGCGTGATGTTGGTGACTTGGGAGTTCCTGGCGAACCATTCATGACGATATTCTGGTTGCCATCCACTCCCGGGATCTTTTCTGCAACCAATGGCATCGTGTTTGTGGCAATACTGCTCCTGTCTTTTATGTCAATAACGAGGATATTCGCATTTGCCGCGTCTGTGTCTACGCCGGCGCTGGAGGTTTCTGTCGATTGCTCAGACGAGCTCTGTTTTTCCACCCTAGGAAGTTCCTTTCTTCGAGTACTCCGAAGTCGTCCGATTTCCGTCTCTCCCTTTTCAGTCATCAGTCCCTTTTGATTTAACTACTTCTTTTGATATGACCTCAGTTGCATGTGAACGGTCTGAGTCTTATTATTAATTCCTTGCTTCTCCTCGGTCACATTGCGGGAGGCGGTGATCGTCTGCTTTCTGCTCTTTTGGGCGGATTAATATCATGCCTTGTCATATTCACCGCGATTTCCTCTGAGGTTTCCCTCCATGCGGTCTTTTCTATGTCGACTCCCTTCACCTTCTTCGGTGGTGGAGATCGGACAGCTTCTACTCTGCCAGTGAGCTGGTCACTGTTCTTCAGCTGGGTAGTTATCAATGATGAGTGTGTACTGCCATTATCACTTCGCAACTTAGTTTGCGATTTTTGAGTGTCGTTTATCATCGCTCATGGTGAGGTGAGGCTGTATGTTCATGTTCTCGTTTACTTCTCCTCTTAGCCCTCTGTTTATTTCTGCAGCCAGCGATCTCCTGAAGCGGTTATCCCTCTACTAGTGGGTCGCTGTTAGTCAACTCTGTCAGTTTCGAAACCATCTGTTGGCTGCTGCTGAATTCATAAATTGACCTGAATTTATCATAATTTAGTAACAATGTAATGAGATCTATAAGGAGGTTCATGTTTGTCTCCAACGACGTAATGTTTAACGCGAGATCTCGAAAATATTTACACCGCGTACCACAATTTGAAGGTTCGGCATCTGGTAGAAAATCTTGTGTAGTCGTAGCGAATTTGCCGGGATAATTTGCGTTGCGGGCCACCTCCGTCCTGTTTGAAATCACTTCTGGCGTACTGCATTCGTTAGATCCTCCCTGCCCCACGTGAATCGACGCTGGTCCGCATGGAGTTGCTGGTGCACTATGTTCATGGTCAAATCCGACACATTTCTCCACCATGGGGTTAATGCAATTAATATTCTCTGTAGCCACCCATCGGTGCCGATGGCCGAGGGGTCTAGGCGTTAGCCTCGTGAGGGGAGAGTCGGAGGACCGACTCCCGGTCTCCACCCCTTTTATTCATCCCGCGGGACTGATGGATCGTACACTTCTACATTTTCCATGTCTTTTTGCGCCAAATTCAAGGATACAGCAACGGCCAAGAGGTTGGCAGCAGGAGACAGACACAATCAAAAGACGGCCTAAGGCTTTCAGATGTCAGGGAAGCTTTAGGCAACGGCAATGTAAGCGAATGCTTCAAGACTTCAGACAACAGAAACCTAGTCGAATTTAACGGTACTACAGTTAAGAGAAATTTAAGCGAATGCTTTGAAGCAAAGGTACAGCTAATGTCTAAGTTTTGAAGTGAGACTCAGCCTTTGTAGAAGTTGTTCTAAGCGTTTCGTTTGCTGGAAGATTGGTCTTTTCAGCCTCGCATGCAGAAATGGTAGTGCCGAAGTCCACGTTCTGCGGAGGTGGTGTTGCAAATTGATGACGATGCGAATATTGCTGTCTGTTATTCAGTTTTCTAAAATCCGGTTGACTGCAGGAGCATCCAGAGTGCAGAAATCTCGAAGAATATTAACCCCTCGGAGGACGAAAATTTGAAACCGAATTCGAAACGCGCGCGAAAATATCATGCTTATTAAATGCACACTACGCAGCCTCAAAACCTCTTATAATTGAAAATGTTCTTAAAACCGAAATAAACCCAACCATCGACTGTAAAGTTAAATGACTGTAAATGGTTTCATGCATGTTTAACTAGCGAGAATAATTCAATTACTATTTCCGTCGCAAAAACCGCTATAAAGTGGCACATTCCACAGAATCCTCCGCAGATTAAGTTAGTAGGCCACTCCAGCATTTCTGTTCTAAATGAACATTCTTGTGAATAAAGAACATTTTCATCCCACCATTACCATAATCGTTTTATATTGAGTTGTTCAGCGTTTTCAATGTAGTCCCTGGTCCCAATTACGAATGTGCACCTTCATATCGCTCAGCCAAACAGACTCGAATGATTATCCTAATTATTGTTTTAGCATGCGGGCAGACGTTTGTGGCGTTCGCCGGTAATATTTCGTCCCCAGAAACAACCTTTTTCAATCCAAATCAGGCCAACATCGACGAACAGGGTAAGCCGGCAGGAAGCGCCCGTTTTTTCAGAAGCCCAACTGGGCGACCCAGCCTCAAGCCCAAAACCACCGATCGTCTCTACTGCCGGTGGAGAATTTTAGGAGACAGTGGGGAACGTATCTTTCTTTTTATCACGCATATGAACATGCTTCCTCCCGAAAATAGCCCGCAAAATGATACACAAATGCCATACAATACTCATGCCTGCAACAAGGAGTATCTCGAAGTCAGGGATGGATATTATTCTGGATCACGTCTTATTGGTAATTTGGAATAGTCTATTTTATCGCTTACTCTTTATATCTTAAGCTGTTCTGCGCATGTTTATGCTTTGTTCCGAAGTTGCATAGTATCGGCACTTTGTTAATTGGAGGCAACGATTAAGCCAGTTAGTTACTTGAATGTCTGTTTGGTGTTTCACTTTAGGCCGCATACCGACCTTAATTTGACCGCACATAATACAGACTTGCATTAGGGGAAATTCACGAACGTATGCACTGTGCAGCCCCGGAGCTAGGCAGTCGTGCTGCTACGAAAATTTTCGTCATGCTCAGTTCATTCCATTTTATATGAGGGAAACGTAGCCGTCGGACCTGTGAAGCCCTTAATTTTTATAAGGAAGCGAATTATAACAAAATTTTCAAACTGGAAACCTCAAACAACTACATATTTTCTTTCAAAACATAACTGATAAGCGCATTGCTCCAAGTGTTTAAAAAACAGTAGCATTTGCCAAATGCGCTTTACAGTAGTCATTGTAGCCATAATTGTGCCGTATGATATTGGTATAATTTTACTTATCTGTTGGATAAGAAGTGATTGCCAGCATTTCAGGCAATAGTCGAATGAAAACAAACGTTACTAAAATGCGGAAAGTAAAACTGATATTTGATATTTCTAACGGGCTACATAATCTTAAATAAATGAATTCGACACATATGGCTAGACTTTAAAATAGACCTTATTCTTCCCGCTGCTGTGAGCCCAGTGGCCCCCTGAAGGTTTGCCTTAACTTCTATTTAACGTATATCATTATTAGAGGATGATAATGACGCATTTGGTTACTCTGATTATTAAAGTTTGAGACACATGTCCCGCGACCAACGTATTGCCCACAAAAATAATTCCAACAGGCCTGTTTAGATATCTGTGTTTTTATTTGATTTGAACTGAGTTCACGGCATTCGGCTTTAAAGGTATCTCTTCAATGAAACTTAAATTCATTTTGACAACCAAGGGTAAGAGACGGATGGATTCCCCCCAGATAAACATATTTAGAAGAAGGTCTTGGTTACTTTAACAATGGTCCGTCTATTTGGCATTACGTAACTGTTTATACGAGCTGTTTTCTCCAGTAGAGTGTACACGCTTCCGAGTTAATAAGAAGCACACACTGGGTGGGCTATCTCATAAGATGTCAATTGAAATTCTAAAATGGTTTTCGTTTCCAAAACATTAAGTAGGTAGGGTTAAAAAACAGATCATTATGCTGCATAGTTTTGTACTAATTCAGTCACAACATAATGCCGGCTTTTTAACGAACGTCTTTTCGGCTGCAAACAAAACTGCACTCTGTAAAAAATGACCACTTAGGTAGCATAAGGTTTTCTCATGGATTTTCGATGCCCTTAAAATTTCAATCATATTTCATAGAACAACACGCGTGAAAATATTTATTTGCCTGCTCATTCGACAGAAAGTGACGTCTTCTTCAAACGGTATAATTCGGTTTAACGAGAGTTTCAAATTGTGAGATTATTTATACTGTGAAACGGCCGTTCATATAACGTCATGCTCGGCTTTTACCAATTTGGCGTATAAGGTCAACAATATGGTTCAAATTCGCTGCTAAAGTTTATAAATTCCATATAGTCTACTGTTGATGTCGTAGAATAATGTGCGGTTTACCATAGGCGGAAGATGTACGATTGATAGTTTGGAAAACATGATTGCAAGAGTGACGGAATTATTAGATAATTGTGGTACGTGACGAGCTGTTTTACAGTCCTACTAAATTGATCTTTTCGAAAAGGAAACACACGTCGGAAGTTCGGTCGGCATTCCATGAGTTAGCTCAACTATTGTACTTCTGAAACAATCACCAGTAAATTGTCTATCTTCCCAAACTGTATGTGGACTGCTTAACAAAATAACGTCGAACCAGGTGTCTAGGTCAATTATATGTTGCATTTGTATGGCTAGTTGGAAATCAAACTATTTTGGGGCTATTAAAATGACGTTTACTTGCGTGCTGCAAACAAAATTTGCCATAGTGAGTTTGTCCTCTCCTCCATCTTTCAGGTCGATACTGCGGAACAGATCTGCCACCAACACTGGTAACTCAGAGCCCAAGAATGCTGATTGAGTACATAAGGCCCGCAGGTCATTCTGGTTCTGGCTTTGCCGCCAACTACCGAAGTAAGCACATTGAATAAATTAATCTGCTTGTGAACAGTGATATAAAATGTTCGACATGAAGCAGAAAACAGCCGACAAATAGAGCTGAGTAGGATGTTTTATTGGAAATATTAGGGAAATTGAGGTTTATAATTGATTATGATATCAAAACGGACGCATGCGGTACAGACGGAACTGCCTCACCAAAGCAACATCTATCAACCGAATTGATTCACACTCCTTAAAACTAAGTGCGGAGGTCGAATAATATTAGATCAATTTGAACAACACACGATAATTTGTCGCATTTTATGATAGAGGCAAGAAGCTAGTGAAAGTTAATTTATTCTGTACACGGAGCAGGTTTCCGTGAGCTAACAGTGCTTGTAAATCAGAAGAAGACGTCCTGCGGAAGCGCCTGAGTGCGAAAATGCCGTGTCTGCATGATTTGCCATTCACTCACCGTTAAAAGCGGTTTAATAATTGATTTGTCATCAACCGATTGGCGTGAAGCTAAATGCAAATAAGCACAATTTGCTGGTTGACAACTGAGTTGACACATTTGCGAATGACTCGGCAGTTTAAGTGGATTTTGAGCCTAGGAAAACCTGTAACGTCAGTGCTCTCAGCGATTGGGCGTTGTGACTCCGAATGGAATCCCTGCGTATAGTTGAATGTATGCCGCCGAAGTCACCTATTTTTTGTCCGATTTGTGTCAAAAATTATACAAATTGACAAAGCGCATTAATAATGAAAAACACATGTATTTAATTGTCGAAAAAATTGAAACTTAAGGGTGGAAATTATGTTAACGCGAGTTTTACTTTTAGTTCATGGTCCTCTCGATACTGAAAACTGCTTTTCGGTAGACGACCACGAATACTACTGTGAGATTTGGGAATAAGCAAAAGCTAACGCCAGTTAAAAAATATCATCGCGCCGATGAAGCTCCAATCCTCACGATTTTCAGTTCGACAACAAGTGAAAAAAAATGTGGAAGTAAGATTTGGGAATACAATGTAAATCAAAACAATCATGTGATAACGACGATTACTGCTCTAAGGACTAAAGTATCTTCGTTTTGGCATAAATCGAACATACTTCCTCCACTTTGAAATACAATCAGTGTCCGATCTCACGAACAGTTAGTTGAAGTAATGAAATGTTTTTTAAATAAGGGAAGATCGCGTAGGTGGAGTTATAATCTAACTTTTGTCTTAAGCAGCATAACATTAAGATCTATCAGTTGCGTCAGGTTACGGACCTATGAAATAACTTTCGTCATGCCGATCGCTAAAACCGCACATAATAAAAAAGTGATTACCTATCTGGAATACACTTTTTCTATTGATTTTCTTTGCTGTCAAAACTTTATGTGTATGTTGAAAACAATATGCTCAAAATGATTTTCCTGGTAGTCATTTGGTTGCACCACCAACGACGAGATAGTACTTGAGCGGGCTGCATGGAGTTCCTCGTGAACCAGCCTGTACAAACCTCTCCGTCAATGTTCGCTGTCTTTAGAGAATGCTAGCATAAGATGAAGGGAGCACTAAAAATGGACTTAGAGTAGATGGGCTAACTAATAAAATGTCAACTGAAATTCCGAAAACCGTTTTTTTTTTTCGAGAAGAGGAATTAAGCAGGGTTGTAAGGCCGGTCATTTTACAGCACACTTTTATCACAAATCAGCCACCTCAGGTAGCTCAAAAAGTCAATTATACTTCATGGAAAGCCTGCATAAAAATATCCATTTGTTTGTTCATTCGGTATAAAATTGTGTTCTTCTCTATTTTTATACCCGAAGTAAGGTTTTAAATCGGTTTCAAAAAAACTCATCGATTTCCCGCATAACACAAAACTTTTTAAAACCTAATTATACTCCTTCTTTAAGTATAAAATATAAAACAGACCTGATTCTCTATTGATTGACTAAAATAAAGCAAAGTTTTGTTTGTGGTTTCTATAAAATATATCTTAATTTCCAAGACCATCGAAAATTAATGGGGAAAATGCATGGTACATATGTAGACATTTTATACCGAGCACGATTTCTACAGGAGATTAAAAGGAAGTGCATTTTAAAGTCGGCATCCTTTCAAGTCGAAAATTTTATAAGAGTATGCATTAAGATAAGCAGTATCCCAATCGTGACCAAGTAATCCTTCCTAATCGAAAACACATTTCAGAATTTCAGCCAACATTTCATGAGATAGGTCACGCACTGAACATTCTGCATGCAGGCAAAAGGAAGTTTTTTTGAATTCCGGTATCCTAAGGTAACTGCATTACTTTAAGATTTTGTTGCAGGTCGACGATTTTTAGAACCATACTTAATTAATCTTCCTGAAACAAAAACGCCTTTTGGAATTTCAGTTGACATTTCATGAGTTAGCCCACCTACTGCAAGTCCACCGTGCTATGGGATATACGGTGGATATCAAGCCCAAACTGTCGGGTTACACATTTGGTTTTTTTTAAAAATGTTTTACTCGATGAAGGGACACGAGGATTTTTATAGTCTTTAAATTAAATCGGTCAGTATTAGTCAGTATATTTCGAGTAAACGACAGAGGCTCTCAAAATCCCATTTAACCAGTGCTGGTAGCCATACATGCAGAAGTTGTACATGTTATGCAAGTGTTTGGAATGCATAAAATAAAGATGGGGCATACATATTAAAAAGGTGAGCCGTTCTCTAAATAACGGCGAAAAACACGCTGAATGCATTCGCTCTATACATCACTGTACATATACCGATCTGTTGAAGTCGTGTAAGTAGTCCGATCAGTTGCTGCAGCTATAGGTATGGCTTAAAGTATACAAACTCTATCTTTTCCATTTAAGGAAGAGCATAAAATCCTTCATCGATTTTAGGGGACCATATGCATCTTAGCGTTAAAAGATACCGTACTAGCAGCATAGGTGCCAGCTCAAAGCCCAGACAAGCATGTTTTGCCGATATGCTGTCGTCGCGTGGCGCAGCTGCACAGGGGTCAACTCGTCAGAGGGTCTCTTAGCATTCCCAGTGTGCTTCCTGGTAGATCTTTCGGCTTAAAAATTGTCGCAAGATTCGTTAGCAACCGAGAGCACACATGGAATGCTGGGAACACAACGAAAAACCAAACCTTTCTCAGGTATTTCCATGAAGCTGCGGAATATGACGAAACACGTGTGTCTGGGCTTCTGACTGATACTTGTTCTGCCAGTACGATTTCTTATAACTATCATCCTGAGGCGTGCTTCTATAATAATTCACTAACCACGGGATGCTGGCTTTTGGAACAATTTGTGCTGCTTGTACGATATCTTATAACCCCAAAATATACCACTTGCTGCTTGTGTGCAGTTAATGAAAATTATGCGGTTATCCAGCTGTGCTATATAGACTTTAGCTCCAATATTAATACCTTAAAATTCAGTCTCTGTCTGTTGACATTAGTATCAACTGATTTAATCTAACTTGGCAGTTAACTTCTGAGAAAATTAAAAAAACCAACTACATCACTAGTTTCGAAGCATTAATAAATTTCCATCGGTTGCAAATGCGCTTAAGACAGGTGGCCGAAAATTGGGGCATCCAAAAGCCAATATCCTAAAATATCTGAGATTATCTGGGAATTATACCGTACGATAATCAATTTTACGAACTCATTAAAGCAACCTCCTCAATTAAAACTGCACTTCAGAATTTTACTTAATATTCTAAGAGATCTGTCACTGGCTCAAAATTAGGTGAGCTTACTCATGAAATGTCAACCAAACTTTTGAAATGCGTTTTCGCTTCAAAAAGAGTAACTGAATAGAATTGTACAAATAAACATCCTGAGTCGTGATTCTATAATGATTCACTTACCAACAGGTTGCTGGCTACTGAACAAATTTCTTTCCATCTGCATGCAAAACCTACAATCTGTAAAAGTTACTACTTAACTGGCCTGCCTTTTTCTCATAGATTTTCGATGCCCTTAGATATTTTATTACATTTCGTGGAAAGCATGAATAAGCATATTCATAATTCTACTCATTCAGTAGAAAATTACGTTTTCTTTCAATTTTTTACTCAAAGGAAGGGTTAAGCTCGGATTGCAAAAACATTTCCAATTCCCGAATGATTGTGAACCTGACCTGTTCTTACACTTTCATTCAGGATTTCTGAACCTCAACCCGTATATTTTTTGCATAGGGAAAAACATGCATTACTGAATATTATAATTACACATTTGGAAGTGGAATAATTTCACAGTGGGTAGAACTTCTGAATGCGCCATCTAGCGAATTTTACTTGAACTTTTCATAAAGTACACTGCTGATGTTCCCTGACGCAAAACCACAGCATACGATGTATGAAATTTCTAACTTTTTCTTGACATTGTTATCATATTATTTTAGTGTGATAGTATGATACGCAATCCATTTGGATGGACCGAATATCAAATAATTCAACAGTTTCACGAATGTTAAATAGACGCTCACCGAAACGGCCGTTCCGGTATCCCTCATAGTTGTCGGTAACAACATTTTGCCAATTTCAGGAATAATTACTTGAAAGATCAGTTTATCGTTCTCGATAATATCGTCTGCGGTCTCCAAGTTTCCACACCATAAGTGTAGTTAAATTTGCTATTGAAAAGTGCAGACATGTCAAAAAGCACTGACGCTTGCAATTCAGCCGTAGCAGACAGGAACTATGCCATATTTCCTAAAAACTTACTCACAGCAACAAGCAGATCCAGATTTTTAAAATATATTTTCTGTATGTTTTGGCAAATTAAGTCGGAATGCTCAAGCATTATCAAAAGCACAAATATGAGAATTGCGCTCACTGCACCTTAGTTCATAGTAACCAATGCCATTGAAATTGGGGGATAACAGCTTCTTACTTCCTTATGCTAGTTTTTTGCGGTGGATTCATGAAGGCGGACGAAGGCACATTTACCAGCCCCGGCTATCCAAGCAACTACCCTCCCAGCAAAATATGCACCTGGTGGATAAAAGTCCCCGCTGGGTTTGCCGTTGTCTTAACATTCGAGAGTATAGAAGTAAGTGTACATGTGATGTTGACAATAGTTATTTATTGTAACTTTCTATTTTCCTTAGCTGGAGGACCAACCGGACTGTCCATACGATTACATAGAAATCTTTGACGGCTCTTCGGATACTTCCCCTGCTATGCGCAGAATATGTGGTAATAAATCACCAGAACCAATTTGGTCAACGAATAACACGATGGAAGTGCGATTCGTCGCTGATTATGCAGTACAAATGAAAGGATTTGTAGCAAAGTTTAAGAAGGGTAAGCTGAGTTGCGTTATATTGAGTGTAAATTACTAGCAGGCAGTGAACCACAACTTATAAAATCGGAGATGCTGAGATGAAAATTACTTGGTTAAGTGAGATTCCCAGGTACTCTACATGGAGAAACTAATCCCGTTGTTCAACATGTTTCGTTTTCATGTGTGGGTTTGCTCGGTGCCTAACTCCTCTACTCGGAGCAAAACTTGGAAAGGAAGAACATACATGAGTTCGCATAGCTCCTATGCTATCATAGACATGCGAATGCTTTGACTTCCAAATCGTACCCAAAAAGATCAGGGGTGCAACCATATGCGATGCAAAGGGAATTAAATACAGATGACGTCTGAGCTAGTAATTCACATTATTTTTGGTTGGATTTCAACATGCTGCGTGAATAACAAAAATTAATCCTTTCGAAAATATCCCGTTATGATTAACCATGTAAACCACCTTAATGTCTAAAGGACTCAACACATGACTTCATTTGGACTCCAATAAACATGTTTATTTTGGCTTTAATAAAAATCAGGTGGGAATTCAAGAATTCCCCATGGAATAATGTTCATGTGGTTTCACCAGATAGGATGGCGCACTTCATAACATTCCTTGTTCGCGCAGGTTAATTTTGAGACATTGAGGCTCAAAGTTTCCCTGGACTGCAAAATTCCCCAAAAAGCGTGGTGGATTTTGCTGAATGTCAGAACCTTGTTATTTTTAGTTCCCTACTCTGACATTGACCAATGCGCTATTGCGAAAGACGACTGCGAGCACATCTGCGTTGCCGTTCCAGGCAGTTATATGTGCAAATGCTATGACGGTTACAATCTTCTACCGGACGGAAAATCATGTCAATGTAAGTTATGCTTTCATATTTGACTGCGCGTTTTTTTCTGCGATGTTTTATAATTTCAGGTCGGAAACGGAAACCGGTCACCTCCGCGTATTGCTCGTATTGCCTTCCATCTTTTAATTTTAGTATTTTTTCCTAGAACTAACCCTCTTAAACCTGGCACTAATCCTTCTGACAGTGGTCCTAGCATCAACCCTCCCAACATTAACCTCCTGGAATTTTAGCTCATAAGCAGAACTGGGGGACGTATTAATTCCCCTATCCCACAAAATTTAGCCTCCAAGCTGAAGCTGACAAACAGCTTTTTCCATCATCTCGAAGGAAACATGATTTTTCGATACCATTATCTGTCCAATATCATGAACAGTCAGGAAAATATGAGGACTCTAGCAAACCACGCCTCCGGTCGATATCTTAGCTTTTCTCTGATACAAATGTTTTAGGTTTGCTGTCGGTCTTCGTGGTTATTCCGGTCCTTTAATAGATAATTCCGGTGATTTTATTTACTCATCTCCTTACAGTGCGTCCTTGTGGGGGCTATTTAAGCATGAACAACGGCAGCATTACCAGCCCCGGCTTCCCCAGAGAATACCCACCAAACATTAAATGCGTCTGGAGTATTCAAGTGCCTGATGGATACTGTGTGCTCCTCGAATTCGACAGTTTCGAAGTAAGTGATTGTGCAAAAAACTGCGGTAACTGCATTTGATTTTATTATAATAGGAATCGTTTAAATAGGCTTAACAAGAACAATATGATTGTGAGTGTGTTTGTATGGGTTTGCGCGCTTAGTTCATCGGTTGTTCCAGTTGCCGGCCTTTTTGCAGCGATAACCCACGCCAAATGCAGGACTGCGTCTCATTCTTTTAGGCTTAAATGATTGTGCGCATCTGCTGTGCCATAATTCAGCTAACCGATGGGCCTGATGGGCGTTGGCGGTTCCCGGGCACCTGGCTTCCTTCCGGTAAATGCGCTTGCGCTGGGTAGGCAGGCGTGTGCATGGTTGACCAATGCCTTGTTTTATCCTCCCCTTTTTCGGACCAATTTTTGCTGTTGGTTAAAATCCTGGTCATGTGTTTGTTGTGCACCAGGTGTTGTGGTGGTACGCCTAGGTTCCCGTCCGGTCATGCCAGCCATTACGCCCTCTCCCGCCTTCGTTCTTCCTGACTATGTCTTGACAGAGGGCCCAGGTGGGGGGAGGAGATTGTGCGGTAGGTGCTACATAAGTCTACTCTCATTAAAAACAAGTTCACACACAAATCCCCGAGCCTACGAATCACACGGTGGAGATAGTCAGCAACGACGTTTAAACTGCCGGTTGTTCCAGACGAGCAGCTTCGCGGAAGTCCACAAGGTAACTGTTATTAGTTGTTGAAATCTCCGTGAGGGGATGCTTTTCGATTGAACACATTCGCAGGAGTTCACGAATCCAGTTTGCGCTCACGCAGGCATGGTGTTGTGCATGCAATGGAGATAAAATTCTAGAAATACTTATCTTACTGGTCTGTGTGTTGAAAGAACTGCCAGCTGAATACGGTACAATTACTATCACCAAAGTGCCTATACAAAGAGAGGAAACAGTGTCAGTTATTGGAGTTCTCGGTCGGAAGTTTCAACAATAAGACACTACCCGCTCTGACGGTTTGTGTTACGCGAAGAATGTTCAAAAAATGTCCAGGCTGATGTGTCACTCCCCCATATCCCCAGAAGCTACGTACAGTACCTGTGCTAACTCATGAAATGTCATGGATTAACACAGATAAACGACTTTAACGCAGGATCGGTAAACACTACGGCTTCCAAAGTCTGATAGCGGAAAATAAAAAATGTGTCAAAGAAATAAAACAGAGTTTAGTTTAGAAAATATTAACTGAGATAAAAATTAGTAATTTTTGACAGACGTCACATTTTCGAGAAACGCCTATATTACAACCAAATGAATAAGGGCTACGTATAAGGGCGTATAAAGGAGGAGGGCGCATAAAAGGGCAAAAATAATTAAGGACAGAAACAGATACAAAAAATCAGTACTTTATTGATTGTCCATTGGAATGAATAACGCAGAAAGTCTGTCAGATATAGACATGACGCGGTTGTCTAGGGTGGATTTTAAAATGTAATTATTGAGTATGAAATCAAATTTTTCCTGCATTGAAAGAGTTTTCTTAGCTTTGTGCCAATTTCTTTTGACTAATCCAAGAAGATTTTCGATAGGATTCAAATAGGGACAGTTGGCCGGGATGAAAATGGATTGGGGGTCAATTGCTGAGAGGGTGGTTGTTGTCTGAAATGTTAGAATATATTTGCAATATATTTGCATCAAATTCGTACCTCTATGGAGTGGTGGACAGGTGCATTGTCGTGCAAAATTACAGTATCCATTCGGCGCCGACTTATGCCGTTGTAGCCGAAATCATCCTTGACAATTGCAATAAACACCTTGCTGTTGGTGGTGTCGGATGTTGACCGCCAGACAGGCCGCTCACCGAATTTAATCGCCATCCAAACAATCATCCGCCGACAGTTCTTGAATGTTGCCGTCGGTGTAGTGCGTTGTCTTGGGAAGTTCTTTCCACATATGACGGTTTGGAGCGATTTCGTAAGCTTGTCTAAAAATAAAACCTCATCGCAAAAGAAAATGCTCTTCCAAAATGAAGATCTGTAATCAATATAATTCTTAGCAAATAAAAGATGTTCTCCAATTAGTTTTCTACTTAAATATGGCCTAATCATGGCCTTTCGCCGCTGCAGTTCAAATTCCTTCATCCTTTTCCTAATGATGTTCATAGAAAACACCGGCAGATGTTCCCGTTGGATGATCTCAATGGGCATGTAATGAAACTTTTTTAATGTACGACGAATAAAATCGTCGTCTTGCTTACTTGTGGACCGTTTGGGTCCCCCTATCTTATTTCTAGGAACAGTGTTATCATTAATAATGCGCCACAGAGTGACCTTACTAATATTGAAAATACTAGCCAACGACTCAGGCGGGACTCCCTCCCCAGCTAATTTTTGAATACGCTGAAAGTCAACTTCGGATAAGTATTGTTTAGACATATGTATCGTTTGGCGTGGTAGAGAAAAGTGACGGCATGTCGCGCGAACTCAATATATATTCGTTTACGATACGCATTTTCGGCTGGTAAAACAATCACACTGATAAACTTTTTTTATTTCGGTATTTTGAAACATAAAACATTACGGATTTGTAAAATAGAATTTTTAGATAAAGAATCGCACGTTTGTACCTGAATACAATAAGAAATAATTTATTTGCATTTCCCTGATTTTCTTGATATTGAAATTTAATTTTTTCTTTTTGTACGAAAGTTTATTGAAAAATTTCTTCTTTTTATTAATCTTCTTAAACAGATTAATAAGGTAAAATACAGAATTTCGATCAGAAATCTTCAATAGCGTAGGCAACTGCTTGAATATCAGGAATCCTCCGATTTCGCCTAAATTCGGCCCGTTTTCTATTTAATATACAGATCCGTATCAAACTTTCCTTCAGCAAACGGCCTTTTCGTCCTTATTTCAACTAAATAAACACAAATAACAACACCAAAAATACGCTGAAGTTTCCACTATAATTTTGACCTCGGCATTTCATGAGTTAGCACAGGTACTGTAACTTCTATCAATTTTTTCGTTCACTGTACCCCGTCCCATATAACTGTACTGGCCTATCGAAAGCAATGTTCGCTTGGCATTTTGTCTTCTGAAAGGTTATAAATCTGTGGTAAGCTTCACTTTTATTGCCACTGCTCCAGTGAGCTCTCTGCCATAACAGGGGAAGACATGGACTCGGACAACACACTACGGCGGACACATAACGTGTTCGGAAGAAAAAACATAATTAGGTCTCATTTTCGGATAGAGTACTAAACAAACCATTAGAAGCGGTTAACTGAAAAGGCGTCTTTGGAAAACGAGTGTGGAGGGGATAGAGTGGTAAATTTCAGCACTTCTTACTCAGGAGTCAAGGAGGCGTTTTATTGGCAAGTCATAAATGGATAAACGTTGGAGAACAATTACCCCACGCACGAGCTATCGGCCCAACAGCTCCTATCGATCGAAGGCAACGATAAACTGACATTCCAGACCACCTCTCGGTGTGCGTATGCTTTTATCCACCTCCATGGGGCAGGATATGTCTATCAGGGTAAACGGTATCTCAGCAGCAGAAGAAGAAGAAGAAGAAGACGAAAACGACGACGAAGAAGAAGAAGAAGAGGGAGAAGAAGATGCGATCGCTAGAACAAAGGGTTTATTGGCTCGACGTTTTGGATTCCCACTAAAACCAATCATTAGAGATGGTCGCCGCTAACTTTCGAATACGCTGGAAGTCAACTTCGGATAAGTATTGCTTAGACATAGGTATCGTTTGGCGTGATAGAGAAAAGTGACGGCATGTCGCGCGAACTCAATATATATTCGTTTACGATACGCATTTTCGGTCTGGTAAAACAATCACACTGATAAACTTTTTATTTCGGTATTTTGAAACGTAAAACTTTACGAATTCGTAAAATAGAATTTTAAGATGAAGAATCGCATCTTTTTTCATGAAAACAATAGGATATAATTTATCTGAATTTTCATGATTTTCTTGATATTGAAATTCATTTTTTTCTTTTTGTACGAAAGCTTATTAAACAATTTCGTCATTTTATTAATCTTCTTAAACAGATTAATGAGGCAAAACAAACAATTTCGATTCGAAGGCTTAAATAGCGTAGGAAACTGCGTGAATATCAGAAATCCTCCGATTTTGCCTAAATTCGGCCCGTTTTCTATTCAATATACAGATACGTATCGTACTTACCTTCAGCAAACGGCCTTTTCGTCCTTATTCCAACTAACTAAACGCAAATAACAACACCAGAATACGCTACAGTTTCTACTCTAATTTTGATCTCGCAATTTCATGAGTTAGCACAGGTTCTGTTGGTATACGATCGACCGGAGGCAGGATCGCAATGACATACGAGCTTTGACAACCATGAGCTGGACTGTTGATGAACCGCCGCCAATTTGGGTTTTGATAAAGAAAAACTGTAAATCCATCATCGAGGAAGCTGGTCTGCATAAAGGCTGATCACGGCGACAGTGGCCAAGATCTCATCTGCAGACCGAATATGGCCCTGCAGCACTTGCACATACCGGGGGCAACAATGCGGTTCGTTTGCTACTGAGAGTTCGAGGACCGTAGCCGACAATGTTCATTGTTAAGAAGTAAAAGCGACCTCTGGAACAAAAGCTTTATTCGCCCTAGGTTTCGATTTCTCACTTGAGCCCATCATCAGAGACGGTAACAGTTTCTGTGTATTTCATTGTGTGCTAGGCGTCTCAGCACGCACCTGGTTCACAATATGTGCCTGACCAGGATTTTTTACCAACAAAAACAGCAAAACACCAACAGTGGTCGAATAGGATGAGGATGATGATTGGGCAATCATGCCCACCACCCGTATACCCAGAGAGAGCGCAAGCGCATCTACTGGCAGGGAACCAGGCGTCAAGGAACTGCCACCGCATAACAGGTTACGAAGACCCTGGTTCGCTGATACTAGCATAGAACGCACTTTCAGACCTTTTGACCACAAATGACAGTTCAGCCGTCGGTTTGGAGGATGTCCACCGTGTGCTCCACATCAAGCGGAGCAGGGACTGTGACTTGTACGTGAGTGATAGTGGACTTGCACGGCATCTACCGCATTCTCTCCTCCCCACTCCAAGCAGAACCCTGTGTCAAGACAGAGTCAAGAAGACCACAGGTGGGGTAGGACGCATGTGTCTAGCAAGGCCGGAGCCGCACCTATGCGTGCCGCCACATGCGACTTGCCGCACACATACACACGTCTCATAATTTGAACAACGTGACCGACGATGTTTATCCTGGGCTGTGCAGCAGGGTGACATCAGGGACAGTTCCGTATACTGCCAGAAGGAGCAAATCCATCTGGATCTGAAGGTGACGTGATTTTATACCAAGTATTATAAGAAAGCGCTTATTGTGTGTGTTTCCTGTAAAATATACTAGAACTTGCGGGGTCATCAAAAAGCAGTGTGAAGAATGCATTCCACACACGTAGTTACTTTTGCGGTGTGCGAGTTTGGAGGAGGTCGAAAAGAAATGCATTCAAAAGCCAACATCCGGACAAGTCCGAAATATTATTGGCTTGTGCCGCGTGACAGGAAATCTTAGATTCATAAACTAACAAATTCTTTCTAATCCAAAAAGCACTTTAAAATTTCGGCTAAAATTCCATCAGACCGATAAGCATCCAAAATCAACGCGGAATATTAATGCCTCTTAAGTAGTACTTTTTATCGAATGTTGCATTTTAGGCCATCTAAAAAACTACTTATCAAAAAGCTGATCTCCCGATTTGGCTGAAAGGTTCTGGGTCTATGTTTCACGATAATCAATGTGGCAGCCCTGGTTAAGTAATCCCTACTTAAGTAAAAACAGTTCTCAGATTTTTGACTAACATTTCATTAGGTATGCCAGATACTGTGTGTCGGTCCAGTTCTGACAAACCTCGTCTATAAACGAGGATACCTGAACAATCCTAAAAAACACCACGAAGGTGCTGAGCCAATTTAGTTCTAGCTTTATACGGAGATTACTTAAAAGACGATAGCATCAACAGATTCGAAATACCTTCCCAGCGCCGCCTACGGCCATTTCCAAGTTACTTGTCATACAGCGATACGCCAACGACGTGGGACGGCATGCCGATCCTCCATCAACTCTGACCTTTTCCCTCTAACAGCAATTTATCGCCCATCCTCCTCTGTGCCCGGCCTTAGTGCCGGTCGATTTGGCTTGGTTGTGTCAATAGAGTACTCGACTAAGCAATAAATTCAATTAAATCTTCAATTTCATTTATGACAACGCGCTAAATGTGGACATTTGAGTGGTTGTAAGATGAAGGGATAGAATGGTATCATTTAGTATTGAAGCTCAGACAACATTTATTAATGTGACCTTTTATAGCAATTAGACTGCGGCCGCTGTTTGGGCTCGAGAGAGTGTCCGTCCGGCATAACGGACCGAGTGAGTTCCGTAAGAACGATCGGTGAGCGCCCACTACTATTGTATATTCCCCATTGAAAAACTGACAGAGTAACGAGCTCGTGGCCCAGTGGTTAGAAGCATGGACATCTAACAGAAAGCTCGCGAGTTCGAGCCTCGGGTGCTGCACACTTCGGTGATGGGTATGACTGGCTAACGACGGCTAATAAGCCGGAGAAGGCCGTTCCATTCTCTGTTGTCTTAGCCGGCTATACCATTCTGCCTATATCATGCGCCGCTGTGCGGCTGCTGGTTGACTCTAGAGAGAGAGTCTATAAGGCAAAACGGAACGAGTAAGCTCCGTAAGAACGATTAGTGAACGTCCCTACCACACTTATTTGAGCTCTGGGTACAGTCTGCTGCGTTATACGGTGCGAATTTCGTCGTATTTTCTAATTGTCTTCCACAGTTTTTACGCCTTCATCCATCCGACCTGACCACGATATCGGAACACATCAGGTGCCAAACATAGAGTACAGTATGCTGCATACAGTGCACACCTGCGTCAATGGGCACAAACGTACATGCGAATGCCAACAGTCGCGCATTTATCTAACTGATAGGTTTGGAAAATGATATATGGGAAAAGTAATCCTTAAAAACGGTGTTATTCCACCGCGGCAACCGGGCTTTACCAATCAAGTGGAATTAGCCCCATGTTAGAAGCGTCGAAGTCTAATAGCATCTAGGGGTTTTCAGAGTCCAAGTGCATCCGACGGGTTTCCTCAGAAGATATCGCTATAGCCTAAACCGAGAGCGAATCCTTGACCACCATTATCTTTAAGTTTAATCCCGAATGGAAGTAGAAGATGGAGGCCAGTTGGAAGGGTGACATATTTTGTACAGAATAACTAGATAAGGGATCGGATAGAGTTAGGAGTCGGATGTGGGCGAGCCCGCCGCCAGGAGATTGACGTACAAAGTCTCTAACGGGACTGCTTGGTTGCTATTTGAGTATAATATGCTACAAATGACAAATTAAAACTGACCCTTGGTATCAAATGAGGTATGGACTGTACTGCCAATAGAAGCGAGGAGACGAATCCCAGGAAGCAATCTGGAAGAAGGAGACACGATCGCTGGGACAAGAGTTTTCTTAGTCTGGCTTTTACGGATTCCTGCTTGAACCCATCATCAGAGACAAGCGCAGATACGTGTGTTTCAAGCATAAGGAGCTGTAGTATTTATAGGATGCAGTCGCCTTGCCACCACATACCTATGAATACTAACGGCTCCCCTCTTCATCAGGGATGGTTGCACGTGGTGTGATGGCCGACATTCGCGTAGTTAATTGCTGCAAATTCATCAGGTGCGTTGGATGTTGGTTTGATGACTGCTCAGCCATCTGACGCACCGACCCCGGTGTTGGGAAAAGTGTCCACCTGGGCGCTCCCCGCGTGGCCAATTGACTGTACTGTTTTGCACCGGCTACAGCGTGGAGAACAACATGCACGGGACTACTTGACACGCCTGCGGTCGTTTTTAAGCCACTGGAACATTTAACTGAGTTAAAAAGCACCATATCAACCATGCATATTTGGTCATCGTGAACAAATAAGTCAGACACATCTTGAATTGCAGTTCTGTTAAGAACTGCCACTGATTATCTGAATATTACGAAACACTGTGCGCATGCGAGGATTGACTGGTGAATGTGGAGGAACCTAACACTGTTCCATCCCTATCATCATGAGTTATTCAAAATAACCGGTCAGGCTGGTGCGACGTTCAAAGGCGTGGTCAGATTGCGTACGGGCACGATATGCATCAGCACTGCTGGTTGAGGAAGCAATTGTGAAGGTTGCGTATAATGGTGGCGTCAGTGTCGAAGGTGGATACGGTGCTGGTAGTGATTTTGGGATTGGTTGTGGTGGTGGTGGTGGTGGTGGTGGTGGTGGTGGTGGTGGTGGCAGCGGTGGTGGCGGCGACTGCGTCGGTTCTGGAGGATGATGTGTTGCTGATGATGGCAGCGACGGCTGCGGCGTCGACCATGATCCAGTGAACATTACGCGGAGCCTACAGACGTCCAAAGAGGTTGACTTATGTTCGAATTGTCCGTTGATTGTGGGGAAATGATGACGGGGTTTAATGTCCGCGTCGCGGTTTTGTTACACATAAACACTAGGGACCGTCATTTCGCTTTCACATGCGTTAATTTGTCGGTGGCAAAGGTCTCCGACAAAATTTTTAACACAGTTGGCAACATGCGATGATTATGATACGGGGCGTGTCAAACAACCAAAGTTGGAATGGCTGAGTGTTTTTTCGTGCACAGTGCTTTTTATTAACCCACTGAATAGGGCGATGATCATAACAGTTCCAAATAGCACGAGGTTGACATCGAGGAATAGGGCGCAAATATTCAAAATAAAATGTTGTATCCGGCCGTGGGTTTTGAAGAACAGAAACAAAGTTGCGCAATTTTAGATGAAATTGTTTGTACTCCAAAAGGTTGATGACAATTCCGGGGTCTATTATTTAACGACTTATGCTAATCATTAATGTGTTATCTTTGAACATTAAAATTGGGACGGCCCGGACTGAGCTCCTTCCAAACCTTCTAAAATGACCCTAGCTGTCTTGATTCCAAGATTTCTGGAGCACATGCAGACCAAGTGTAGACTTAGATTCATCTACGCACGTTTCAGGAAAATTTTCAGCCGTAGGAAAGAGTTATTTTTTACTTGTTGCTATGAACTTCCAAGTAGTTTGTGCATGCAACTAGGATAACGAATCACTCACAGCCATAAACGTGGCGCAGCATTAACGTGTGCGTTCTGTCGTCATGCAATTATTAATTACTGCACTTTATGCTCAATAGCTGGAGGAACAACTTGAGTGTCAATTCGACTACCTAGAAATCTACGACGGCCCCTCGGAATCTTCACCCCGTTTGCGGCAGTTATGTGGGTCTAAATTCCCAAATCCTGTTGCGTCTAAGATGAACGAAATGACATTGAAATTTGTCTCCGATGGTCTCTTCAGCAAGAAAGGATTCAAAGCCAGGTTTCGGAAGGGTAAGTTTTGTTTATAACTTATCGATGCGTGGTTAACAGAGTAAATATTGTTATTGGTCGATATGTAGAGATATTACTAATATTAATAGGTTGTTGCATATTGGGCATTTATTTACACTTACATACTCGGATTCCACGTGCATATCAGCCATTCTCTTTACGCTTATTTTAATCTTCGTTAATTGTACCGTCACTCTTCCTCTGGAAGGATGCAGCGCAGATGTGAATACAAACGTAGTCTTCGACAAAATAAGTATTCATACTTTGTGCCATCCACAAATCGTCCTAGACTCCGTTTGTGCGATATCTGCTTGTGCGAGTTGTCTTGAACATTAGGCGACGTGTAGTTCAGCAGTTTCTTATATGTTCCTTTGGAACAGTCTCCTTACAGTGTTTCATTAAAATTCACGATGCACCTTAAATTGATCTTAACCAAACACGCTGAGCCACCAACGGCGGATATCCATTTAGAGTTTATACGATAGATACTGTCGTATTTTAGGGTTAGTAAGACCTCACTGTGTGTCTTTATTAACCGAACTACATCCAACTACCAGCATGTGACTACGTTTCCTATATACGACTATATGAGCACGATAGCTGTGTTTAAATGCAAAGAAAGCGGATTGTTCATGTGATTTCGCAAATTGGATGGGCCATCTCTACCAGGAATCTATCATGACATGAGTTACATAATCAGTCCACGTCAAAGCCTTCAGCCATGAGACTCGGGAAATGTTTGACATTTTTTGTTGACTGAAGAATATTTGATCTCCTTAGTTCTCGACGCGGAAATTGACCACTGCATTACCGCCAATCACGGCTGCGAGGATGTCTGCGTTAACGTTGCAGGAGGCTATAGGTGTCAGTGCCGTGATGGATACTATCTGCTTCCGGACGGCACATCATGTCAATGTGAGTTACAGGATCGATTTTCCTCTATAATGCATCAATGTTCTAGTTTTCAGATCCCAACAACAGAAAGCTGTTTCAGTTTTCCAGAAGAAATCCTGCGATTTGGTTATAGTCCGAGAATTAAGAACGGCTTATTGGGACAGCCTTTTGGAATGCTGACGTTTCGGGGAGCTTGGTCGAGCCACCATTGCCATAGCTCAAACTGCGTATTATCAAGCAGAAATAAAAATGGCGTGCCACGCCAGTCTACCTCGTGATGCTCGATGTTTTTTGTTTCTCGTTGCTCCGGTATTTAGGGGTGTTTGGCGGGCCTTTTAGATGCGTGCGCTGAGACGTACCAACCTCGTCGGAGGAGTTGGCTATGTCGTGAAGGAGGCACCATCGCTGAGACAAGAGCTTTATTCGCCTGACGTTTCCGGTTCCTTCTCTAACCCATCATCATAGACAATAGAAGATACCAGTGATGAGAGGCTCGAGGAGGAATCCGAAACGTTGGGCAAATTAAGATATTTTCCAAGCGGCCGTGTTTCCTTCTTCACATTTCGTTCAGTCTCTTTGGCTATTGATCGGTCTGGCGGTTCCTATTCTTCCCTGTCAAGCGGGTTCGTCGTCGGGATTTGCCTGCGCCGTTTCTGAAAATTTAGGATGGTTTTTATGCTTAGCCTTTTGAACGTAATGACTCAGGGCTTTCTACGCTGCAGGATGATCTACACCCCTTTAATTGAGTAGACATCTGGGTACCACGGCTCAAATGTTATCCATTTGGCCTTTAAGTTACCCCGGTCTAGGATGGCAGCTACTTGACGATCAAAACTACAGTCTGTTTCTTTAATGTGCATTTAACCTTGAGAGTTTGTGTTTAGCCTCCTAACTGCCGATTTGTTGGAGCGTGTCAAATTCTACCCGGTTTACCCTACGAGGCTGTAGTTCCCATTATCGTAATTTATTTTGTAGAGGACCGCTGATGCTCCATTGGATAGTAACACGGCCTTAGGTTGCATCAAATGGCACCGAAATGTTGCCTAGAGTCGATCGGTTATGACTACTCTGGCGGGCCGTAACTGCCGAAAGACCACCTGGAAGACCCCTTTAACGTTATGAATGGCCTCCATTCTTAAAACGCTTCTCCGTCGCCCGCTGTCTGTTCGTTCGGCGGGTGCCTTATTTCGACAAAATAACTGGAATTAGCATTGACTGCGAAGAAATTCTGAGGATTTAGTTATTAAGCCCCTAAATCTGCTGGAGTGCTGCTCTGTGCGTCAACTCTTTGGAGAAGAGTCCGGGCACAGCTACTTTTGTTAAACAGTAGGTAATATTTGTTAAAGTGCAGTATTTGGCTCGCCTTGGTGGCTTTCTGAATGCTGTTGTTTGTGGTTGTTTGATTGCGTACTGGCGCATAAGCACACCGAGGAAGGGCAGTTGTTTGTTTGTTTAGGCTTCCATCTGCAAGGGAATATTTAGGTTGACTGGCACGGTTATTCCTTAAGATGTTAAATGCCATATCCTTTGACCATGACGAACACGTCCTCGACATAAGGAGCCGAGGAACTTCGTTGATACTTAGTGAAAAGCAAGTGTTTTATTTCTTTAAAAACTTCTTCTGCAATCAGGCCTCACAGAGGAGAGTCCAAAGGACCACCTTTAATTTGTTTGTGCACTTGTCCACCAGGTGTTGAATACACTTTATGGCAGTTTAACGGGAGCTTGAACAGATGGTCGGAATATAGGGGCTTCTCTGTCTACTCATAGTGTCCAGCCAGCAGTTGATTAACAACGTCTATCGCCAGATTACCCTCAATAAGCCACACGAGGACTAGATTGGAGTCAGCGGGCGTTATCGGGAATGTAAACCCAACACAAATGCCAACATTCAGGGTGTCGCCGCTCAGTGAGATACCTACCCTCCCCCATTGATACTGTCGGTTAAAATGCTGGTGAAATGTTTGTTGTGAACCAAAAAGTGTGTGGTTGCACCAGGTCAGCCGCTTGCGTCTGCTGTTGCCTCCGGCCTTGACATCAGATCGCGGTGGAGGAGAAGGCGCGATGGGTGCTTCACAAGTCCACTATCAATAGAAACTTATTCACGAGTGGGTCATCGTCCTTCTCTCACACGGTGGGCATAATTGAAACCGGTGGTTGAACTGTCTATCTCCGAATGCTGTGGAATTGAGGCGAAGAACGAAGCAGATTTGTAGGATTCCGTGGATTCGTCCAGCCATAACGACAGATGTTTTATTCGCTTGAAGAATCGAATCACGGACGCTTTTGTTGTCCGTGAGCTTGCGTTTAAAAAACCCCAGAAAACTGAACATCCAATTTGCCAAGCCATATGTCGCGGTTTTATGAAAGGACATGATTGGTCTGAATGGTAAATGTACCTTGTATACCTTTTGTTTCATACCTATCGGGATGTAGCAGATTAATAGTGCTTCAAACAGGTTAATCATAATGACAGGGTTAAGTCTTTTGCCTGTCATTGCCTCGACAAATAGCATGTATATATGCACTTTCTTCTCCACAGTGCATTGCAATCCCTTTTTCGCAGGTGTCGCCTGCAAATACTTGTCAACCTCACTCAGTAGGAAGTCTGTACTAGTCTACGCTATCAGTCTTTGTTCATGTTGATATTATCTGATTCGTATCAACCGGGATGCAGAATGCTATCTGTTTCGTGACGGTTACCATGTGGACGTAGATGCTTGAGATACGTTAAGCGAGCTCCTTTTTATTTCCATGCTTCCCGGGTACTTTGGTCCACATGGTCAGTGATTTCTCTTACTCACTCCCTTGCAGCATCTGCTTGCGGCAAATATATGAGGTCAGCCAACGAGAACATTACCAGCCCAGGCTTTCCAAACGAATATCCACCAAACAGTAAATGTGTTTGGAAGATTCAAGTTCCCGTTGATTACAAAGTGCTCTACAGACTCGACTTTTTTGAGGTAAGTCTCAATGTGACAAACACAGCCAACGCCCCTAACCGTAATGAAAGTGTTTTCAATTAAACGCGTTTACCACCACAATGGGTCAGTCGAGATAAAGCTGGCGTTTACAAAAAGTGATTTCTTTAAACATTTCTGCCATAGTTTTCACTACAGACACCGATTCGGGCAGTTCCTCACATTACACAGTAGAACTTAATTGGAAGTGTAGAACAGGACACGGTGTATGCAGAAACCTCCCTAAAATATTTGTCGAACATATAAAGTTGCATGGCATCATACGGAACTTCAAAATCCGCTATTTCTGTTCACACACAAGTCGGCATAAAGGGGTGTATGTAATAGCTGTTAATTTCTTGTGATACGCGTTTTACATCCATAACTTCTGGCAGGCGTAAGGGTCGAATTTTGGGTGGTGTCAACTGACGTACATGAGCAAACATGAGCGATCATTTGCGAAAGTTAATTCTGCAGCCGACTAGGTTATCTGACACGGGTGAGCTTAACGTAAATGCAAATTGCTCACGAAGTAACGTGCCATAGGATCTCCAGTCGCCTGATGTCGCCTTTATCGTGGGCAGAGCAGACGCCGAGGGACGCTCGGGTGGTTGAATAATTCCCAACTGCAGTTTGTGTTCAAAGGTAGCCTACGCAGCCTGAAAACTGACTGGTTTCAGTCGTCTAGACCATGCGAACACAGGAGGACCTGAGGTGCGTATATGTTGCGCAATGTTATGCTGGGCCTTGTCACTGCGAAGACTGAGGACGATTGTAGCCGGGTCTTCATGGAAAAGATTCCGAAGCGGACTATCAATAGCTGTATCCAAGACAGATATGTTGCCAGAGGTAGTAAAGGAGGCTAAACGATGAACAGGTAGGCCAGTTGTACGATGTGATGGGCGGCAACATCGCAGTCAACAAGGCGATCAAACTCCTCTGCAGAGTCCGAGCCGAAGGTGGCATGAGGGACATCGACAAGCACAAAGATGCACGAAAAAAATCGACGAAGGCTTTGATGAGGGTGAGGGGCAGGCTGCCAAAAATGGGAATGAAGGACCATTTGACAGGTTGGAGGTGAAAACCAGAGCAGGTGAACCAACGGACGGCTGGAGTGGGAGGGACAACATGGATTTGATCTCTGGTGCCCATAAGAAGGCGTCTGCGAATCACACTGTCGTACACATAGAAGGTATGACGAGAGCCGAAAGGTCAGAGACAATGGTCGCGTCTATTCTCTGACGGAGTGGTTTACCTCTCTAGTCTTGAGGGAGCAGGGGGAGGAACACTGACGGGCCTTAACACTGAAATTAGTATGATCCCATCAAATATCGACGGTTCGCGGTTCAGAGCGAGAACGTCGACGGCCGGGTGTGCGAATGGAGTTAAGGCGTGCGAGCTTCAGTTGCAGGCAGGTCATCTTACCCTCAGTGGTCGACATCTGCTACCACAACTGCTCATTCACTGTCGACAGCGAGGATGCGGAGATCTGGGTAACGGGGGGCGGCCTGAACCGCTCCACCTCTGTCATCCGCACCATCATTTCAGCCAGCTGTGTGACTGTGAAATCTTGAGAACTGGTCTCCAAAATTGCTTGAACATCTGTAGGTAGACATTCTTGGACTACCGCATGTTTCCAAGGAGAGAACGCGTTCATGGTAGAAGTTCTGCGGGCGTTCGGTCACCCAGGGATTCGTCCTTGACCAACTGGTGATAGCGCTGTCGGTCTTGACATCAGATGCAGGTGGGAGAGGAGGCTATAGTGAGGTGTGTACCACGCAAGTCTGCAACCCCTGCAAACTAAGTTACGTGCAAGTCACCTCTCTTGCTCTTATCGTGCTGTAGAGTCCACGGCAGACACTGCCAGCAACCACGACGGAACTGTTGGCTGTTCTAAAATGAATGAAGCAAATGCAGACAAGTTGTCCCAAGGTAATAAATTAGCATATGCTCTCTACTGATGGCTTATAAGTAGTCAGTGCACGTCAATACGACAAAGTACTCCTGACAACTTTGAAAATGTCCCTAACATTGACATGTGTGATCCGCCGGCAGCAACTGTTCATTAATAAATGTTTTGATTAATAGCTGGAGGATATATTTGACTGCCCATTCGACTACCTGGAAATTTACGATGGTCCCTCAGCATCTTCGACCAGGCTGAGGAAGATGTGTACGTCCAAAATACCAGCACTATTTTTGTCGACGACGAACACGATGACCTTAAAATTTGTCTCTGATGGTCTCGTCAACAAAGGGGGATTTAGAGGCAGGTGTGAGAAAAGTAAGTGTTTCCTTATGTTACAGCATGTGACTAATTCACCCGTTTGCCCTTCAATTGTTTTAAAGTAGCAGTATTTATGCGTGCGTATTACGGGATTTTTTGACCCACGTAAATCAACAGATTACTTATCTCCCCAAAGCATTGGCGGTTTCTTTTACTGGTGATGATGTGACTCGCAGTGAAAACACTTTTGCATAATATACGTGGTAAAGTAACGCTGTCGCCAATAAATACTTCGGAAATTCCATTTGTCTGATCGGGTCAGCCGGGGAAATCCAAATGCGCACATAAAAACAAACAACAACTAACAGTGAGAAGATGAAACGGAAAATCCGAAATATATGTTCGTCCACCCGCTTGACGCGGAGTAAACTTTTACGGGAGGAAGCACACATAGTTCACGCCTATCCAACAGCAAAATGGTTTGACTTCCCAGAAGTAGTAGACTCGGGCAATATGACGACAATTTAGCACGTAGATTTGGATGCTGTCCTCATGATTCTGAAGGAAGGTGGGTCCAGCCAAAGGCAATCCCGACAGGGATATTGATCGAAGTAGATTTCTGGGGCTACGGTCGTTCGTTAACCATGGAATACCTTGTGGTGCACAGTGAAAATTTTGGCCACTTTTGTGCATTGTTCAAACATCTAGCTACGAACGAGGACCCGGTCTTGAAAATTGCTCAGCAAACTTTGCCGTTTACGTCTTATTTAGCAGTTTCAGTTTACGTTCGTGGGGTTATCGTTGTCCATTACATGGTCATGGTTCTGCCGGTTACGTGAATCGTACAGCTAGTTTATAAAGTAGCGCTGTCGGCTATCCGTCTGGCCTCTGCACTTATTCAGAGGTTAAAATGTAATATTTGCCTAACTCACAAGCGTTTGACGTGCTATAACGCCGACTGGGAGTGTTCTTTATAACAATTGGGGAAAAAAACGACACAAGGCTTTCATGACTTACTTATGTCGATGCAGAAACCTAGTCAAAGTACGGGATTTGCAAGTTTTTCAGAAAGATGCAGGTGTGTTAAAGTACATACCATTCCCCTTACTGTGTTACTCTTGTTGCATGTGACCATATACCAGTCACAGTTCATCCTCGAGGTTGACTGAAGGCTGGTGCTCATGCAGTCTTGTGCAGAGGCGTTTCCCCGTTTCACCAACATACCTTGCATTGAAATTGTGACACGGTAGGCTGTAGGCCACGGATGATAGATCCGTTGCCGGTAGCGACACATTTGTAGTTATCAAGAGGAGTGACGTTCAAAACTTCCATGTCTAACTCTACTCAATATTCCCCGACATCCAATTAACAATGGAAGGACGGTTAGTGGGAGGATAAGAACTTCGGTATGCCGTAAGGCGACGAATACCAGACGCATCTTCCAATTCCGAAGTAACCACCCTATTGGTCACAAGCGGAGTTGTGTCAGAACTCTCTTCCAACTAGCAAGCAGGCGTCCTCGTTCGAGCCCATGACAAATGACTAGGCTGGTGCTCGAAAGCTGGTCCTCAGTTGGCACAATCAACAGGGCCATTGATCTTCATCCGCCCTACCAGGTGCTATGCACAAGGCTCCACTCAGTCTAGACTGGGCCGACAGTTCTGGCGAGCGAGTCGCGGCTCCTCCAACAGTTGTCACCTTCAAAGCAGGGGGAAAGAGCCAGCCGGAGGTCACATGACCAACGCGAGACATCGACCCACCGACGCGCCCAAACAGCCGTGCGTGATTCATACATGTAACGGCAGCTGATCACTCCATCCGATTATTAGGGGAGGGCCCATGAGTACACAGATTTTGCAGCGACTACGACAGACAGAGGTCACAGGAGCGCGCCATCGGCCGCCCGCGGAGGGACCTAAGCAAATCACCAACCAGAAGGCAGGTCAGAGTTCATGCGTCAGGCACGCCTATAGCACAGACAGGCGGCGAGACAGAGCAACTCCGAACCAGCAGGAACAGACACCACAGCAATCTGATATTAGAAACGAGTAGGTTTCCGAAACGTCAGCACCAATACAGTGTGGTCAATGCAATCGCCCCTTTTTCTTCTTCGTCTTCTTTTGGGGATTATGAACGGTATAACTTATCGGGATCTCGAATCTTCACTCATGTTGATATATATATGACGATATGAGGCTCGTCGGAAAAAATCGAGCTTTATATCTTCATCATATTATCGCGGAATGCACACTACCCGAGCCTTTCAGTCTACATAAATATCGAATGCCATATATAGGCAGTGTGCTATTAACAATGAAGACAAAGGAGACTGAAATGCCCATTTCTGGCTTGTTAGCTGCTGGCCGCCAGTCCTACCAAATTTTAAAGTGCAGGACCCCTGGGGCTCAATCTCACGGCCGGTTAGCTAGAAGTCCAACGCCTCTTCCCACTGAGCCACGGGCTCGTTGTCCCGACAGCAACCGACAGGGCAACGAGCCGCTGGCTGAGTCGCTAGAGGCGTTGGACTTCTAACTAATAGGTCACGGGATTGACCCCTTGGTGCTCCACACTTCTGGGTTGGTGGTTACTGGCTGACAACGGCCAGCAAACCAGAAATGGCCATTCCAGTCTCCTTAATCTTTGTCGGTAATAAAATTCTGCCTATATCATGCGCCGCTGTGCAGCAGCTAGTTGGGCTCTACGGAGAGCCCGTAAGACACTACGTGACTAGTGCATTCCGTAAAAACGATCGGTAAACACCCCCCAATCATACACATGAGAATATATGTTATGCATCACATAGTCAAGAGATCGTAGACTGACGCGTCAGGTACCTTCAGTCAACGCATATTTAAGTTATGCGATTAGACTTGAATTTAATAAAAAAGAAAAAAATGATTCACTAAATGCGAGGGGGAATGGGCGACCCACCGCGATATATATCATTTCTCCACACACTTTTTGTGACCGACTTGCTTCGGTTAACTTTGCATTTGTTTTTTACCACTACAACTTCATCCAAGAGATTAAAACTATTTTAGTTCCTTTATTCTGACTTTTGCTGGTGCGTTCGGCCTTTTTGTCGCATGCGAATATTCTCGGCAGCCGTGTAAATTGGTCACAATGTTAGATTCTTGCTTGTCTAATTCAACGACTTTAGCTTTATAAACTCTGTTTTACTTGCACAATCGTTAACATCGAAATTTTATTGCACTTTATCGGGACTGCATTACACGAGGGTTAGAATGTGTTTTTCTTTCCCTAGTAAAGACCACAAATCATAGGCGGATATCGAGAGGCCCAAATAAATGAAATCACCACTTACAAGGGCCGCACAAACCGTGCGTAGTTGTGTGTCCTTCGCAAAATTCAAACTGGTGTTGGGTATTTTTTGAGTAAAACAGCTGCTTTTTATTTTGAAGAGGGACAATTTTAACTGCATACTCTTGGATTAAAAGTAAAATATACAAAGTTACATTTTGCTGATTTCAAACTAGAGTTGGCAGCTCTAATGGTTTTTGCGGCGTTGAAACCGTTGACACTAATTGCTAACTCGCTAACTTTCAACTACTACATTTTACAATGCAATTTTTTTTCAAATACTCCGCGGCTTGCAGCTTTAAAACAGTCTTGAATAGGCGAAATTAAGCGGACAGAAGTCGAAGTAGCTAGTACAATTGACGGTGCTGGTTTGCAAGTGACTGTCATAAGTTGAGAGGCTGCATGAACTGTGCTCGTCGGAGGATGAACCAATGTATACGTGTTCAACAATTTTCCCAAATGACCATGTTTAACGCCTCATTAACCGTAGCATTCTTCATATAGAGTCAACGAGTTTCCCTCGCAGGTAATCCACATGTGCGTGCGGCCTCCTGTTGCGTGCTCAAAGTCACAATTGAACTGAACACCCGGTAGATGGTACAGTAGGTGGGCTAACTGATGAAATCTCAACAGAAATTAACAAATGCGTTTTCGTTTCGAAAATATTAATTAAATAGGGTTGTAAAGCTAGTCAGCATGCAACATAATTCTATAACAATTCAGTTACCTCAGGACGCCGGCTTTCGGCAAAACTTCTTTTTGGCTGCATCCAAAAACCATTCTCTGTAGAAATTATTACTAATTTAGCGTGCATTTTTTCGTTGATTTTCGATGCCTTTAAAGATTCAACTATATTTCGAATAAAGCACGTCTATAATCATCCATTCTTTTGTTCATTTCACCTTAATTTTCGAAGGAAGGTTGTAATGTGGATTAACGAGGCTTTTTTAATTCCCGAAAAATTTTTAATCCGACCTGCAGTTGCACTAGCATTCAGGGTACCTAAAATACAGGCCTTAAAATTTCCGCGTATGGAAAACCATACAATTCTCTACCGTAAAAAGAGGAAACCATATATGGTTCATTAAATTTATCGGTAGCTTTGAGCCATATTAGTAACTTTACAAGCCACATTGGTATATGCAGAGACATGACGTTTTAGGAAGGGCCATTTCACGGTATTAAAATAATCTCATAATTATAAACTTCTCTAAAACCGAATTATACCCTTCTCTCGAGTGCAAAACTGAAAAAAGACGTTAAATGCAACTGAATGAGCATAAGCATAAATATTTTTTTACATGTTTTCCATGAAATGTAATTGAATCTTTATATGCATCAAAAATCGTTGAGAAATGCATAAAACATACACAGGTATTTCCTACGGAGTATGGTTTTTAGATGCAGCCGATGAAAAGTTTGTTCAAAAGCCGGCTTCCTGGGGTAAGTGATTTATTATAGAATTAGGCTGCTCCATGATTGGTTTTACCTGCCTAATTACTCAGTCATTTCGAAACGGAAACGCTTTTCGTAATTTCGGTTGACATTTCATGAGTTAGCCAACCTACTTTATTTAAATATTAACCTCCAAAAAGGCTGCATAAGCATTATGCGCGCGACCTGCATCTCGGACAATTCGAATGTGCAACGGTTTCGTCAAAATGATTGAAATAGAAACACTGTTTAATGCCTGAAAATGTCTGCTAAAAAGGTAAACTGCGATAAGCGGTAATGTCACGTTTAACTGATAAGTATTTATTGGGAAAGTCTATGAAAATAACACCGCTTGCTCAGTACATCTCAAAAAAGATTGCTTAATTTGAGCGCATTTTAGTAAGCAGCAGCCCTCGGTCCTGAGTCTGCTATAATTTAAATAAAAAGAAATACGAACGGTCTGGTGAAGCAGGCATATTTAAATTCAGAAATTCGGTTTATTGGCTGAGAAACACAAAAACGTTTGGTGAAGCTGATGATGTATGGAAAGGGTTTGCTAGGAGTGATAACTTTAATTTAAATTCCTGAAATGTGAACGAAACGCGAATACATCTATCGGAAAAGATCTAACAAGATAGTAATAAATTCAAAATTGGACCATTGCCTGAATAAAGGTCTATATGTTATACGGCCAAGTTCGAGTTCCAGGCGAGGGTGAGTTAATAAGAATGTTGGTCGAGTACCGGAACAGTTTGTTTGTTGCTCTGAACTCTCGAACTAATTCAGGATTCCATCATCAGAGAAAGTAAAAACAACAGAACAAGCGACATTTGTGGGACGTGCTAGTCAATCATGGTTTGACGGCGCAATACCGGAGATGATTGCGCAGGGCCCTGTAAGCCGAAGCCGGATCGATAAATTGATTGATTTAGTTCCTATCTGAGACCTGTTTGGTTTCCGGCGTGGGCGATAATCTCTGTTGCTGCGAAGTTAAAATCATGACCAATTTCGTAGGTGCTGAAGGTCACTTGGGATAATTTATCGTCTTGACGTACAGCCGGCGGCAGCGCTTTAGAGAAGAACACCATTTAATTGTCGGTAGACTGTGGATCGTACCATACGTGATTTAAGGTAGACAGAGTTATATGAATGCGACAGCACGGTAGAAAGTAAGCTGACAAAATAAAATAAAACACAGAAAATGCCTGGATTTATGCCGAACGTTGTATCCTACGCTGTTGTGCGACAAAGAAAATGAGAGTAGTTATTAAATAATAAACAAAATTGATTTTCACAAAATAACGGATTTTGAGTTAAGGTGCGCAGTCGTGGGAAGGAATCGTTATTGGCAGGGAAATTTATGCATCAGCCTGCAAATATATGCCAAGATAAAATCCCATATGACACGATCCATAGTCTACTGATAGTTAAGTGGGGTACTACTCTGTACCGTTTCCCAGCCAACTTATGCTCGCGTATGTGTGATTTGAGCATGCATCTAGCCTGACATGTGCAGTTACAAGGACAGTTATGGCAGGGGTGCAATGGAAATTGCTTCTTGGAATCTCTCCACTCTTTAACTGCCGTTTTTCTGCTTTTGTATCTTGTCTTTCTCCGTGTTTTTCTTCGTCAGACGCTGTTATAACAAATATCCGACATTCTTAACAAAATGTCCCGTATCATGAAGAAACACCTATTCTTCCAAAGAGCAATCGAAAGTCATTCTCATAATGACATTACGGACTTTCCCGAAGCTACCAACTGGTCATTCGCGAGTACGGTAAAAAAAGTGAAGTTACATGACTGCGAGCGCATTCGGGTCCTCAAATTGCGCGATAATTCCGTCAATCTATCAAGCGTAATTACTCTTTTCAAGGCGCTGCTTAAAATATTGACAACTATAGGCTGAAGGACCCCAGGTAGCTGTCAGGATGATGGAGCTCGTGACATAAATGAGTGGTGGTAATGGGAGGCATTTAGGGGTGATGTAGCAGCCCAGACAGTAAGCTTATGGGAGGCAGGAAAACTTGGAGTCCGATCGGTAGCAAAAATATATTTCCGATTAAAACGATGGGTGTAGGCAGATACGGCACTCACCCGCATATTCCGTGGCGTTTAATCTTGAAATAATGCCTGAACATCGAACAAATGGGCCTCAGAAATTCCTGTTATCCCTCAATCTCTGCCCAGTTGGTCTTCGTTTTGCCGTTCTTGGCACAATAGCCCTTCGTCAGTACTAAACTAGATTTCGCAAGTGCACTCATAGGCACACGGTGCACTGTCCACGCACGGCTAATTGAGTCATCCACCCTACCGTTGTCAACATTTTAAACAGCGCCTTGGAAAGACTAACGAGTAATGCTTTGCAGCATCTTTCATTAGCACTCAACAGGAAAGTTACGCAGCTGATGTCAACTGTTGTCCGCACGAGTTCTTTAAATTTATATTTAGGCGATTGTCTACACCGGTGCTAAGGCGACTGGGCGGCGAGGTGAGTAATTATGCACAATTGTTTTATGCATCACGCGTTATGGACAGACGGAACACTGTGTAACATGCAAAGCTATAGCAAGTTATGCCGTTATACCTGTATTCACGACCAAACTCTACAATGCATCCTCGGAGAGCCCGATGAGTACTCGCCAATCGATTCCGTTTTAACACAAAGCCTTCGAGCGCATAATCGTGCTCATAAGAAGGCCCCCCTGTCACCTATAATGTCGCAAGCGTTAATGTTGAACATTGGAAATCGGAAGACGACTAACGTGGTTACATGGTTGTAGCGCTGAAGTTAATGTCGTTAGGAAATGGACAATAGCGGAAAACTAAAATCTGTAAATATAAAGTCCGTCGTCATAGTTGAAAGAAAAGCAACAGCGATAGTTAAACGCTCAGGTGAGTTTTCTTCGGATTTGTGTGTATGCACGCAACAACTCGTTTCTGTCTCCTAGTTGTAATATGCTGCCAACAATCTACAAACTGAGGTTCAATTATTTTTTATAGGAGGTAGATCGAGGCAGCTGAATTTTGCGTGCGATGAGGCTTTGCGTTGAACGTTCGGGTTTTTAAAAAAACTTCTTGACCACTTCAACAGGGATAAATACGAAATTACTAATTTTCACGTTAAATAAACTGTCTGTTACTGGATGACTTGAAGAACCGTCACTACAACGCGGTCAATTTCCTGTCGGATATTTACCCTCAAGTATTCCTGACACAGGCTTTTGGGAACGAATGAATGTAGAATTTGCAGGAATAACATGGTAGGCTTATCTAAATCGTGCTTTGCTAAATACTGAAGGATATGTTGGAGAATAAAATCATGATTGTGTCGAACTATATATGAGAGTTAATATGTTGATCAGAAATATTTGCCGTGTTAGTTCTGGCCCTGAAAAGATAGCGGTTCATGACTAAGGATACCTGCCCAAGGGGGTAACTGTGCTGAGAGAAAATAACTGGCAGTTTTCATTTGTACGTGCTAGGGAAGAAAATGAAAAGGCCTCGGATCGGCTGTTTCTTCATGGCGGTCAAGGTGGTTTAAGGTAGTCACTAGA